GTTAAAATACTTAAGTGGCCAATAAGTGCCAGCTGATTTTAAATTAGAATAAAATATTTACCAAGACCAATCTGTTCTTTACCATGTGTATGCATTCGAGGTCCACGGTATGGGGGTTGGGGACACATCTCCACCAGCCAGAAACTTTTCTGGCACTAACGTGTAAGAGTAGGCTCATTGTTGACTGTTGATGCATGGGTGTGTGGCCTGCTCAGCAGTGGGAGGAGAATTCTCTGGATTCTCTAAATTGTTGCTGTCCCAGCCCACACCACGGACCTTTGAATCTTCAGGGGAAGATAGAATGAGGAGACGTTCTGGTACCAGAAAGGAGACAAGCTTATTCCAGCAACTATGGGACTAGTCCCTTGGGATATGACTCCCCTGGAGCAACGCAACTCAGGATTAGAGTGGTTGTGTTTGGGTTTCTGGATGCTGTGTGGGGTGGAGAGGGAGGGGAGGGGGGTTAGGCCGACCAGCCCAAGAGGGCTGCAAAGTCTGGGTCAGGTACCTGGTTACACAACCTCCTGGGTCCAGAATTTCATCCTGAAGCAAATAACCAGAATAGCCAAGCATCGAACGAGCAAACAAAAAAGAAAAATGCGTTTCTCAAGGATGTTTGTTTAGTTGTGCGCTTCCAAACAAATAAAGGCAGCATAAGTTATACTGTATTTACACAGAGACAGCAGACTGCCAGCCACACCCCAAACCCCAAACATCTTTGTATTTATTGTTAGTCCATCTCCTAGTCTGACCTCTCTGTGAGGAAATTAGGTTGCAAAACCTTCCTTCCACCCCCTTCCACACAGTATGCCACTACCCTATGCACACACCATTTTGTTTGGGGGAGGGAAATAAAAAATTCTGAATTTGTTCCAGTAATTGTTTCTAGTGAATAATCAGTCCAGAACTAGACACAAGGATCCTGCACGCATGCCATTTTTCCATAGAAAGCAATTCTATTTGTAAGAGCAAAACGAAGATAACCAGTTTGGAATCACCAACACCCCTCTTACCATGAGACCTAAATTCAAAGTCATTCTGAATTCTCTGCAACCATTTGCATTAACGTCATTAATCCAATGATCCTAACAGGCCTGGCTGCCACAGACATGGGGTTCTTGAGAGAGTACCCAGAAATCTAATCCATTGCCAGGCATGGGTGATGCAGGGGCAGGTTTTCTATACCAATTCGTGTCTCTTCATGTTACTTTATGCAGATGTTCTTTCTTATTGTTTTCCTAGGTCTTCATATAATTACCCTGTGGTTCTTGATATTTATTAACCCATGGCTGCTTCTTATGAACATAAAAGGGCCATGTCCACACAGATTCTGTTTTCCCCTTCCAGGGCATGCCCACCTTTCCAGAATGAGCATCATTGGGTTTTGAACACCAAGGCAACAAAGCCGAGGTCAGGGCTCAAGGCCTGTGCCAGTCAGTTGTCTTCCCTCTGCTCCATATGTGCAAACTGAGCTCCCAAACCTGGCCTGTGTGCTCCTAAATGGATGCTTTATGTCAGAAGGTATCCTGGATAAGGTAGAAATGGATAGAGTAATTTAACTACCTCTAATGAGAGCGGGGGGGAGGGGGGAGGAGGATTCATACTGCACTTTGTTGTTGTGAATGCATATGATTATTTATTTATGACTTAGAATGGGAAAGCACATTCATTAGAGGACTGTCTGTGTATCTTTCTATAGATCAACGTGTCTATTCCTTTAAGAAGCTTATTTGAATACCTGCTCTATGTCAAGTGCTATGCGAGGTACTTGGGTTCTGTAATATGTAAGACACAGCATGAGCCTTCCTGAAATCATTATAGAGTAAAAAGACAAGGTGAGGGTAGAAGAGGGAGGGAGAGAGAGGGATGGCTCTTCCTGAGAGGATCAGAACAGACTTTTGGAGGAAGAGAGTCAAAGCTGGAATTTAGACATGTATATGGGTTTGTTTGCCAGGCAAAATGGAGATCGGAAGGCAGATGGGAGCTACCTGAGCCAAGGTGTGGAGATGTGAAGGGCAGGGTACATTTAAAGAACAGCGAGCAGCTTGCTACCACTGGATTACACATTCTGCAAGAGTTCATATCAGGAAACGACAAATGACGATTCTGGGCGTGTGAGAACCCTCACATGAAATGCTTACGTTTCATTTATTCAAGAAATGTTTGTTGAGCTCATACTAAACAGAAGGATTTAGAACAGGAGCTAGGAGCTTAGGTTAAGGGAGGAGATAAGACACAAATCTGCAAACCACCTTATAAAGTAAGACACTTTCCACGAGGGAGGCAACATCAGAGAGGTATTTCATTCGTGTGCCTCAATAACGATGGACTGAATACTAAATGAATACTCACTACATTAAGAAATAAGACATGTTTGGCAAGGAGCTGGCAATCTAGTAGAATAAATAGAACATCATATCACAGTTTATTCAATAAGCAATGTAATAGCATTTATTGACAGCTTACTAAGTAAGTTCCAGACACCGATCTAAGTGCTTTATGTTGATTAACTTCAATCGTCCTCACCCAATAGGTAAATATCATTATTGTCTACATTTCACAAATGGCAACATCAGGCCCAGAGAGGTTATTAACTCCCTCAATCACAGCTAAGATTAAAATCCAGACAATTTGTCTCTACATTCTTAACCATCACTCCAGAGAACTATGGAAGCAGGGGAGAGAAACACAAGCCAGCCTAGACATGGCTGGGGAAGACTCGTCCTTTTATTCCACGAGTAGTTATAGGATTATAGTTATAGCTTATAGAATCTTAGGAAACTACCAAACTTCTGATACTCACCAGATTATGAAACATCTAGAGTTCAAGTTCAAGGGTAAACCTTTTCCCCAAAATCCAACTACATTACATTTCTCACTCACATGATTAAAATTTTTCCATGCCCCATCCAATCCAGGTTCATCTATCCCCTCAAACACCAACTCTAATCATATGCTTCTAGGATCTTTATCAAGAGAAGTATAAATTTAATGGGGAAACTGCTAATATTTCTTTTCAGGGATCCTCTTACAGGCTCCCAGCATTTTATGTTATCTAATGGCTTTGGAATGGCACTGTGAAAATTCCTGGCTGGATGTGCAAACTGTTCATTTATTATGTAGCAGTCTAATTATCTTACATCCAATGAAATTAGAATATATTTCTCATTCAAATCACTGTAACTTTTCCATCTCCTAATTCAGCCCCCTCTATCCTCATAACCACTATAGGCATTGGGTTGGCAAATAGCAAGAAGGGGAGAATTGTAAGAAGTTAATGATTTTCGAATCATCTCTAGTGATCTTATTATGAAACCTCATCATATATAGATGGTAAAAGAGTCACAAGAGGTCCAAATGCCAAAAGATGACCTTGTTCTTAGAGAAGCAAGTCCAGGATGGAGAGATCTGTGTAAGTCAGGATAGCATTTGCCTGCAGGGAACAGAATCCAACTAGAATGACCTAGACAAATAAAGAGTATTTCTCCTGTAATATGACCAGAGCCCAGGCCAGGTGTCAGCAACCTGCCAGGCTCCTTCTGTTTTTCTGTTCTGCTGTTATCTTTGCAAGACCACTGGTATGCTTTCAGATATCAAGCCATATTCCAGACCACAAGAAGAGCAAAGATCAGGGATGCCTGGGTGACTTCGTTGGTTGAGTGTCATGACTTGGGTCATGATCTCACAGTTCATGAGTTCGAGCCTCACCTCAAGCCCCATGTCAGGCTCTGTGCTGATGGCTCAGATTCTGTGTCTCCCTCTCTCTGTACCTCCCCTGTTTGCTCTCTGATTCTCTCTTTCAAAAATAAATAAACATACCATATATATAAATATTATATATATATATTTTATATATATTATGGCTATATATATATATATAAAAGACAGAAGCTACCAACTCTGTCCCCTTTGAGAAAGTTTTTCCAGAAGCCGCATCCTGCAACTCCTGCTTAAACCTCATTGCCATATTTGAGTCACATGGCCTCAGAGCAAGTCAGCATGTTAATTCTGCACCTGCCGCCAAGCAAAGCAGGGTTTTTGTAGCAAGAAAAATGGAGAGCACACACATTGGGTTAGCGCCTAGCAGTACCTGCACCATTATCTTAAAATTTTCCAATGAAGATAATAGAGAGGGAGAAGACCAGAGAAAGATCAAGTCAAAACAGATTTTAAAACTCAAGGGCACACAGCTAATTAAACACCAGCCTAATGTGAAGTATTTTCCCTTTTAAGTTACTTAACAGATAATCCCTGGCCCTAAATCTCACAAGATGACTAGGAGTCAGGCTTGGGGAGGGCAGGAAGAGGGCAAACACCGCCAGTGTGGGCCGCTCTGTGTGGAAATTACAATCCATTCCCTGTTTCCAGAAAACAAATTGCAGAGTAAGGAATATCAAGAAGGTAAATGGGCCAGGTCATGAGAGGCTCATGTGTGTGCTTAAAAACATGTCTTTCTGGTACAAGACAAAGAGCCACTGAAGTATCTGAAGCCAAGAAGGACTCGGTCACGCATACATTTTAGATAACTTGGATTCCAAGGGGGGTGCTGGTGGCCACATCCATGGATCCTACTCACCTGGGAGGCAGTGTGCATCTTTTGCACATGATTTACACTTCTGCCTTTGAGGGCTTTCTCCTGGTATCCTTCTGAGTCAGAACATTTCAGTCAGGTATGTTTGCATTGACATTTCCAGGTGAGCTCTCCCGTTTGCGGGTCAATCAAAATCGTGAATGGTCAATAAGCCTCCCAAAGGTGTTGAGTACATGCGAGTGAGTGAGTGAGTGAGTGAGTGTGTGTGTGTGTGTGTGTGTAAGAGAGAGAGAGAGAGAGAGAGAGAGATCAGAGCCCTCCTGTGCTTGGAACGTGTAGTGGCCTCCAAGTCCTTCTGAGAAAGCGGCCATTAACCAGGCGGCTAGTAGTCACTTCCAGATGCCCAAAGGAGGCCCAAGGGAGGACCCTCTCTGTGTGCCAGCTCTAAGCTCTCCTTTCATCTCTCAAGCACAGTTTCTGTGAGCATAGGCAGAGTTTTGCATTGCTCAACTTCCCTGGACTTGAGGTGTTCCCGTGGGAACATTCCGGTGTCAGATGTAGCTGCAGATTACCTGTTCCACCCCCTTCTGCTACCGAATTCAGGTCCCATTTGCTCCTTCTCCTTTCACTGCAGACATGTCATGGGGACAGCTATTGTGACGAGTAGGGAAGGGGGTCTTCAAAATATTTCATAACTAATAGAACGTGTGCAGCAACCAGTTAGCATGCATGTGTCACCAATCAGGACAGGCATCGGCCATGAATTACTGGAACCAGCTGAGTACCAGTCTTGGTATTAGGCGTTAACTTACAGAGATGTATAAGGTATGGGTCTTCTCGCAAAATCTCCTCTTGTCAAATAATTTACCCCAGGTCTAGGACCTAGAATAGGTTCACCAGTGACAGTCACCATCAGGGAGCAGAATGCTCTCTCTGTACTGGGGGGCACCTTCCCATCATTGTTGTATTGGTGACCCCACCTCCCTCCTGGTCTTCAGACTGGCACTGATTTTCCATCCAGGGTGGTGGCATGTGGAGGCAGAGGTCTTGGTGACAACAGATTACTGTTAGAGCAGATTAGAGAGGGGCAGGTTTAGGGCTAAATTGTCTGCATCTTCAACTTGGTTGTGAAAGAAAAGAACAATCGTGCTGTTCTGGGGACATCCTCCATGAGTCTGAAGGTGAACTTTGAAAGCTGAAGGTTATCCTTCCTGGTAGTCTTTAAACGGGTTTTGTTTTTAGCGGTGCCCTCTTTACAAAAGCATTCTTATTTGGAAATCCAATCCAGGTGGAATTGCAATGCTGGAAGCTGGGCAAAGTCCCACAGGCTCACCTTCAAGGCATCCCCAGAAGCCCTGGACCCCTGACAACACCAGGCTCATTCCTCATTCACAAAAGGGGGAAAGCGAGACTCGGAAGTGATCTAGGCCTGGTGTCAGACGGCTTGAGTCAGACAAATGGCACCTAGGCTTTTAACTGCTAACCATACCCTTCCTCCCCCTCTGTCCCCTTTCCCCCCTTCCCCCTCCAGCCAGCTTGCTTCGGCCACTCAGCATGGGCAGCGGCAGGTTCTGTGTGTGGAACCAGGAAGCCACTAGTGAATAAATCATAGCTAACATTTGTTTGCTCCTCACTCTTTAGGGATCCCTTTCACCTCTTCTGTCTTATATGACACAACAATCTGAAGGGGCGGGCCTATGCTGGCCGACCATGCCTCTTCCCCTTGAGTAACCTCCCACTCACCTGTTCAAACTTCCCAATCAAAACACACCCAGCGACCTGCATAACAGGACTCCGACCCTTCCCCAGCCAATTGGCTGAGGCCACAGCCATTACCTCACCAACTGCCCCTAGACCCCAATAAAACCTTTGTGCTTTTGAAACTCGCCTCTCTCCCTGGTATCTCACCGCTGCGTCGGTGCAGGTAGGGGATTGAGCTCGAGCTAGCTCGAATAAAGGTTCTTCTGCTTTTGCATCGGACTCGGCTCCCTGGTGGTCTTTGGGGATCACAAATTCTGGGCATAACAAATCCACATGAACATGTACTGTCTCGTAGGACATAATAACCCAAATGAAACAATCAAGTGGGGTTAAGCAATCTACTCAAGGACAGATCCCTAGAAATTAGAACTCGTTCTAAACACAGCAGACGTTTAGCACAAGTTAGTACACTTTGAGAGCAAATGCTCTGCATGGATTAACACCCAGAGCGGTGTTTCCCAAAGGCTGGTGGCCCCAGAGCAGAGCTTCCATATTAACCTGAGAAACTGTCAGAAATGCAGATTCTGGGGCCCATGCCAGACCTTTTAAATTAGAAACTACAGGGGTGGAGCCCCAAACACAGCAACCTATTTTCTTTTTAACAAGACCTCCAGTTGATTTTGATGCCAGCTAAAAAGTTTGGGAACCTCCACACTAAGGAACACAGTCATATTTCGATCTCCCACGCAGCCCTTAGTGGGGGGCCCTCTGAAGAGCAAGTGGGAGATGTCCCTTCCCCTGGGACCTCAGACCTCAGCAGTAACTGGCCCTGCCTGCATTTATGTCAGGAAGGAGCCCAGGAAAGTCTGCACCGTTCATGGTGCTTCTAAATCATACTAATTGTTCTTTCTTGTGTGCCTACCATCACGGGAAATACCACATAGTATAAGATATGCAACATCTTCCACGGTACCCCACCGCATCTCCTTTTCAAGGAGTTTCGAAGAGAGTCTCCAAGTCCCAAAATCATGGTACGTGCAGTGCTTCTCAAGCTTTGATGTGCAAATGTGTCATTTAAAGATATTGTTGAAATAGAGATTCTGTTTCAGCAAAACTCAGTATTTGATACAGATAATAAGATTGTGGATTCAATAAAGACTTTCAAGCTTCTCCTGAACACTTGTGTCTCTTCCCCAAGGCCCTAAAATTATCCCCGAAGTTAGAAAAGCAGAGAGAAATTTGCTAAGACCAGAGACCCCAATTATTGCCGTTCAAATTGGACATAATAATTTACCACTGGGCATTCGAGGGCTAAGAGTTGCAAAGCTGATTCGTCCCTACCGAGATTCCACCATCTCCCCTTTAAAAAGATCAATAAGGTGGTCAGAATGAGTGAGATAATCAGCTAGACAGTTGTCTTTCAGGGTTCCAGTAGGAAAAGTGCCCCAAGCGCATCCTTTGTAGTAAATGCTGCTTGGGTAATTGCTTCTATTTGATTGAAGTATTCTGCAGAGTCTCCTGATGAATTTAATAGAAAGGAGACAGACCCACAAGACATTCATTTTGTAGACTGAGTCATCAGAGCATTTCGTCTAAACCTAAGAGACAGTTCCCAGCTTTTTCTGAGTAGCATTGCAAGTTGATGCAAATGACATAAAAATCGAGAGGCCAGAATCTAATCCCCACTTCCTGATAATCCCCAAAATGACTTTCTTCTCAATTTAAAGAAACTCCCAAGGATTATTTGGATGGTGGTCAAGGACAATAGGGCTCCTATTTCAGGAGTCCTCCTAACCACACATGGGGATTATCAGGTCCATGCAATCTCCATGTATCAAGTCTGGCCAGGCTACTGAAGTTGCAGGTGCTGGCCTGGTGTATGGTAGAACGCTATAAACAGGACTTTCTGACTTCAAGAAATTACTGGACATCTTTAACGCAGTTCATAAGTTTCTCCTCAAGTGATGGGGGAAGAACGCTAAACAATACTACAAGAGTAAAGAAGCAGGGCAATGTCACCTTAAGGTAGCCAGAGGACACCGACCTTTAAGTTGTGACATTGCTTTATTTGCTCATCTGCATGAATATAAATATTCATTCTGTGATTCTCAAGAGGAGAATCAAAGCAGGATAAATTCTGTTGAGCTCATTTGAAAGGGCAGGTTTAGTAAACCGCTGTACTGATCTGTCACCAGTTACTTGAATTACTAATATATGTTCTTTCATTTCACCCGGCAGAATCCAAAAGGCCAAGATGGTGTTTCTCCCAGAGAGGCACGGAGAGTGTTGCACATAGTCATTTTTGTTTCCATTAAGCCTCTGGTAGCTAAGAAAGTAAGAGATGGCCAAAGAGCCCCCTCATCCCACCTTTATCTTTGCGTGATAGCAGATGGCACGTGGAGTTTAACTGATATCATCGCATCCGTGACAGTGGCCACAGAAGGTGCCAAATGATGCCATTTTGTGCAGCAAAACATGCTAATTGCCAGTGGCTAATGAGCTCTGCAAAAACAAACAAACAAACAAGGAATCCTAATATTGTGATGCTTTACAACCCCAGATTTACAACTTGATACAGCTTAGGAAACAGCCTGCTCGTTGAAGTAAACTTGCACAAGCGTATGCCCCAGCTTGCAATCAGCGCCATGCACATTGGGAACGCTGAAAAATTAATGAGCTATTACAGAAACACATTCCACACATACACATCTCCTTCTGGGAAAGCCAGCTGGATTAATCCTAATAGGTTTTTAAAATTCATTCTTGATTCCATCAATTATTGAAGAGTTATAAGTCGAGATCAATGATCCCTGGTTCTTTACTACCTCAGACAAGGACTGGCCATAATCCAGCCTTTCCTTCAGGCCTTCTTCATTGACATATCGACACGCCTACAGTCAGCAGAGCGGTAGGCCTTATGGGTAGTGGCTGTGCCTCGTTCTAATAAAAAATCTACCCACATGGCCTCCAATCAGTTTGCCATCCGTGGACACACACACACACACACACACACTGATTTTTTTTTATAAGTCCTATGGTGAAATCAAAAGCCCTCTGGGGTTCCAATCTATGCTGTTCTGACTACTGGTCTGTGACCTTGGCCAAATGAATTACCCTTTCTCAGCTTCAGGTCTTTCCCTGTAAGGAAGGGATGGTAATAGTGCCTGTCTCATAAGGTGGTCATGATGAGTAAATAAGTAAATCAGATAATGTTTGTAGGAGCTTACCACAGAGCTGGGCATGTGGTAGACACTCAGTCAGTACTGGCCACATTATTGGCAGTATTATTTTAATTGGAATTTGTGAAACTACTTGTTCTCCTAACTGAATATATGAATGACTTTCACGTAATTTTTTCAAGCATAAGAAATCTGTATGAGTGTCTTCGTCAGCTTGGACTGCTATAACAAAATACCACAGACTGGCTGGCCGAAACAGCAAACACTTACTTCTCACGTTCTGAAGGCTAGGAAGTCCAAGATCAAGGTGCCAGCATGGTTGGGTTATGGTGAGGGCTCTCTTCCTGGCTTGTAGGTGGCCACCTTCTCCCTGCAGCCTCACATGGCCGAGAGATAGCACACTGGTATCTCTTCCTCTTTTTATAAGCGCCCAGGTCCCATCACAGGGGCCCCAACCTCGTGACCTCATCCAAACCTAATTACCTCCCAAAGGCCCCATCTCCAAATGTACCAATGCATTTGGCAGTTAGGGCTTTGACATACAAGTTTGGGAGAGACACGTTCAGTTTGTAGGGACACAGTCTAAACATCACAAGCTTCAAATCATAAACTACTGGTTCAATCCTGACACTGTTTGCACCAGGGCTGTTGCTCGACGTTCATTCTCATTTAACCCTTCTTTAGGGACATGATTGGGCTGTTTTCCTGGCAGATCTGAGACTGCCTGCGGTGCAGCCTTTCCTGGGCTCCTTCCTCATAAAAATGGAGGCAGGGCCCATTACTAGTCGGGTGTGAGAGGCCAGGAGAAGGGGAATCTCCCACCAGCTCTCCTCCAGAGCAGGGAAGTTCTAAGACCTGCCAGGGAGATAGAACGTGCTATCAGACGAGAGACTTACCTAAGGAAGGGAGGCTCCTACAAGTCTACTCCTAGAAGATGTCCAATCTATTTTGAAATCTGACAGGTCTAGTCTTCCCCCTAAAGGAGCAACATGTTCCACATGTGCTAGGTGACTGTATGTGCCAAGCACTGGGCTAGATATCTAAGACTCCAAGATGCCCTCTCCTAACTCACAGTTGAGAAGGTTGGACTGACATGAAAATGAGAAAAAAAAAAAAAAAAAAGAATGTGCTAAATGGCTTGCACGATGTTGGAGGTTGAGTAGGCAGTGGTGGAGATCCACAAAGAGAATAATTAGGGGAATGACAAAACGTTCAGCAAATGTTCTCAGTAGTGAAGGGAAATTCATTTCTTGAAGCCTCATTTTCAAAAGGATGCAATATTTTCTCCTCTTCAAATGGACTTGTCTTCTCGCTCCTTCATCTTTGGAGCCTTATTTATCAAGTAATTCATATCTCCATAAATGATAATCCACAAGAATATAACAAACGCACTGCTATGTTGTAATGGATTCCCCCAACCTGTTACAGATTTTTCCTTTCTTGCCATCCTTCCTTCTCTCCTTCATTTCTTCCCAACGATCAACAGCAATATTAGCAAAATTAGGTTGGGTGGCTCAGTCGGTTAAGCATCTGACTCTTAGTTTCAGCTCAAGTCATGATCTCATAGTTTGTGAGACCCAGCCCCTCATCGGGCTCCACACTGATGGCGAAGAGCCTTCTTGGGATTCTTTCTCTGCCCCTTCTCTCTCCCTCTCTCTCTCTCTGTCTCTCTCTCTCTCTCAAAAATAAATATATAAACTTCAAAAAAACAATATTAGCAATAAAAGCAAACACATATATCATGTTTCCAGCTACCAGGCACTGATTCTGTTATACGTGTTCCTGTTTATATATGTCACAGTTTACACATGTTGATTCATTAATTCTCACAACAATCCAACAAGGTAGGTCACATGACTATCCCCTTTTGCAAATGGGTAAGTCAACGTTTGGAGAGGCTCAATAGCTTACTTGAGTCACACCGCTCTTAAATGGTAGGGTGGGGTCTTGCCCCCTCCCCAGCAGTCCCAGACAATCTGGCTCTGAGTCTGTTTCGGTCCTGACATTGCCCTGCTTCTCCAAACGTGGGGCTTCACGACCAGACCTGAACAGTCTTCATTCGTTTCTCTTATCAGAGCTCTCAAAAATCTTGCCTGTTCCTACCGATTCAATGTCATTTTTGTCAACCACTCCAAAATGTATATATCCACATATGTCCATTTTACTCTAGCTCCAAGATACCAGTGGCTACTGCAAACTTCCATTCCATCCACCTTTTAATTATTAAGTTTGAGACCCCAAAATTAACCTTGCCTTATTCCTTTTCTTTACCCTCTAAATCCTTTCAAATATGCTTCAAATGCTTCTCATTGCCTCTCCTAGCCAATACCACCAAAGCAGAAGCAACAAGGTTTCCAACAATTTCCAACAAGGTTTCTGTTACCCTAAAGAGCTAATATGACCTCTCAAATGACTGTCCCCTCCCTCCTCACTGGTATGTCCACCAAGCATTTTGGTCAAGAGGTTGGTCAGACCCATGGAAAGTAACAGTGAGTGCCCCTGAAGATAGAGGGCTGGTGCCCACTTTCCCATAGCTCCAACACTGCTTCTATTGTCTCAGTTTCTTTATTTTCCCACTGCCTGCTGATTTTTTAATTTCCACAACATGCAGTCACTATGGTTTCAGACAGCAACAAAAGGCATATGTCCTAAATCCTGTAGGAGGTCTCCAGCTGGCTGCAAGATTCCTTTGCTACTGTGGAAGCTAATGAGCCTCTAATAGATTTCTTTCTCCAGTGCCATAACCCTACCAGAAAAACCAGCCACAGCCCGTGAGCACATTCTAGAACTATTACAGTTCTCCTTTCACATATATACAGGGAGCCGTCTGCCCACAACGGCAGATAATTCATGCCTTCTCTTGCTCCTTAACGTAAAGTTGAGTAACTTCACCAAACTGCTTAGATCCGCCATTATGCACCATACATCATGCACCCTGAGGCAACAGAACAAGTTAAAAAATTATCTGTGATAAACATTCATTTGAAATGCAGCCAAGTAGACTTCAGAAAGCCCTCCACATTGTTATGAGCGTTTCTTCCCGGTTTCGTTGGTAAAATGAACTGTTTAAGAGGATAATTCATGATGTTGCAACAGACTACTGAATGAGTCAAATAAAAATATAAAAAGATCGCAACATATTAAGTTTAAAAACCAAGTTGCAAAAGGATGGGTAAATATGACACCATTAAATATGAATCATAAATACCATCAGAAAAAGGTTTTCAGGAGTTATCTAGACATAGGGATTATGGGTTACTTTGATTTTGTGTGTCTCTCAAATTTTCTGTCATAACCATGATTATCTTTGTAATCAGATTTTTTAAGCTAATATTATTTTTAAAAAATTGTAACAATAGCAACAATGACAACAAAAAATGTGGGTGGTTCCATTCTAAGGAAACTAGAGTTTCTAGAATATTCTGATATTCTTTAGCACAGAATTATCATGTTGGACAGTCCTTTAACACTGGGCTTTATTTAGTCATCTGCTAAATGATGAGTTGAAATAAGACATCAGAGGCACCTTCTGTTAAAGTTCTATGATCCAGTATTTGGAGAAGTTAGGATTGAGAAGGACGTTCTGTCTCCCACAAGGCAAGAGAGAAACTAAAGTTTATCTGTCTGCTGAGTCTGCTATATATGATTGTCCTGAGTCTTGGATTTTTTTCCTTTTTATAAGTAAAACAAGATACTTAGACTAGACATCCTCAGCGGTCAATGTCCTCTGGATCTAAAAATTCTGTGGTTCTATGGGTCAGACTATGACTCAGAAATGGCTTTTTTTTTTACTTTTTTATGTTTATTTATTTTTTGAGAGAGAGAGAGAGAGAGAGGCAGAGAGAGAGGGAAAGAGAAATCCCAAGAAGGCTCCATGCTGTCAGCACAGAGCCCAATGCAGGACTCAAACTCACTAACTGTGAGATCATGACCTGAGCCCCAGAAATGGCTTTTCAAGTGTTAGTGGCTTACAGACAAAATGTGCAATCTTTTCTCATGCATATTAGAGAATGGAAGATGCTGTGGCTACTAAAGTTGTGTCCTTAAAGAATTTGTGTTTGAAAATCCTATTTCTAATGTTCTTTAAGCAGGGCAAAGACAAATACAGGCACATACCTGACCTGGCGAACTGCCTGTCCTCAGTGAAAATTACAGACTTCAGGGACTGTGAGTTCCACTGCCATAACGTAACTCAACTTGTCTGCTGCAAGGCTGGGTTTTTTTTTTTTTTTTTCTTGTAGTCATTATTTTAAGTTGTCAGATTATTCCCTTGTTCATAATACCAGCAGAAAGCAGGAGACAAGCTGAGGCTGAGCAGAACATGGTCTGCTCTCTCTAATGCACACTGAAATCTGGGAGAAGCTATTTTATCTTAACAAAGGTAATGGCTATAACAGCACTTTGTAGACCAGAAATCCCTGCACAAATGTGGAAAGTTATTATTATTCACACCTCTGGGCCTTTTTAAAAAATGTTTATTTAGTTTTTGACACAGAGAGAGAGAGAGAGAGAGAGAGAGAGAGAGAGAGAGAGACAGAGCATGAGTAGGGGAGGGGCAGAGAGAGAGGGAGACACAGAATCTGAAACAGGCTCCAGGCTCTGACTGTCAGCACAGAGCCCAACACGGGGCTTGAACTCACGGACAGCGAGATCATGACCTGAGCCGAAGTCAGACGCTCAACTGACTGAGCCACCCAGGGGCCCCTCTAAACCTTTTTTGATAAGATAACTTTTCTCTTAAACTCAAGTTGGTTAACATACAATGTAGTCTTGGCTTCAGGAGTAGAATCTAGTGACTCCTCTCTTATGTATGACACGCAGCGCTTATCCTGGAAAGTACCTTCCTTAATGACAGTCACCCATTTAGCTCATTCCCAACCATCCCCCTCCAGCAACCCTGTTTGTTCTCTGTATTTAAGAGTCTTTTGTGGTTTGCCTTCTTCTCTGTTTTTACCTTAGTTTTCCTTCCCTTCCCCTAGTTCATCTGTTGAGTTTCTCAAATTCCACATATGAGTGAAATCATATGATATCTTTCTGTCTCTGACTGACTTATTTCGTTTACCATACTACCCTCTAGTTTCATCCATGTTGTTGTAAATGGCAAGATTTCCATTTACATATAAATGGAAATATAAATTTTACATAAATATAAAATATTCCATTTTATGTATCTCTTTACCCATTCATCAGTCAATGGACATTTGGGCTCTTTCCACCTTTTGGCTATTGTCGATAGCACTGCTATAAACATTGGGGTGCATGTACCCCTTCAAATCAGCATTTTTGTCTCCTTTGGATAAATACCTAGTAGTACAATTGCTGGGTCATGGGGTAGTTCATTTTTAATTTTTTGAGGAACCTCCATACTGTTTTCCAGAGAGGCTGCACCAGTTTACATTCCCACCAACAGTGTAAGAGGGTTCCCCTTCCTCCGCATCCTTTCCAACATCTGTTGCTTCCTGAGTTGTTAATGTTAGCCATTCTGACAGGTTTGAAGTGGTGTCTCATTGTGGTTTTGATTTGTATTTCCCTGATGATGGGTGATGTTGAATGTCTTTTCATGTGTCTGTTGGCCATCTGAATGTCTTCTTTGAAAAAGTGTCTAAGGGATGCCTGGGTGGCTCAGTTGGTTGAGCGTCTGACTTCGGCTCAGGTCATGATCTCGCCGTCCATGAGTTCAAGCCCCGCGTTGGGCTCCGTGCAGCTTGGAGACTGGAGCCTGCTTCGGATTCTGTGTCTCCCTCTCTCTCTGCCCCTCCCCTGCTCATGCTCTGTCTCTCTCACTCTCAAAAATGAATAAATGTTAAAAAAAAATTTTTTTTAATTAAAAAAAAAAGAAAAGAAAAAGTGTCTATTCATGTCTTTTGCCCATTTCTTCACTAGACTGCTTGTTTTTTCGGTGTTGATAAGACAAATTCTTAAGGTCTCTTTAAACGTTAAAACTCTTATTTCATGATGCTTCAGTAGTTAATTTCAACAAGCATTGCCAGTGGAACCTGGATCAGACTTCCCAATTCTGAGGTTGGGGTTCTTTGAGGGTTTGGGGCAATAAACTGGAGAGGGCTCATTAAATTCTGAAGCATAATTCAAAACAACATCAATTTAGATTTCTTCTCATTATGGATACTATGCTTCCCATGCTTTGCATCAGGAAGAATTGGCACCCCAAAGTCCCTCAAAGAGAGGAAACTTCTTTCTAACTGATATGTAAGTTCTACAGTCTGAGTAGCTTGCAGAACCACTAGCAAGAGGGATGCCCGGGGCCTGCAGTGGGAAACATGGTTTTGGAAATCACCTGTTCCTGCTGCTTTGCAAGTCAACTCACCGAGGTGGAAATGTTTTGTTCTCCCTTTTCTCTCATGTCCTGGATAAAACCTGGAATGAAATCATGGAAACATATCAAAAACTTCCTACCAATTAATTAGACTTGAGAAAGCAGCAAGTAGCTGTGTTGGAAGTCTTCACGGGTGAATGCATTGATTCCTTGGACCATTTTATCAGTTCCTAAGATGGTAATGCGGCTTTCAGTTTCATAGTAGATGGAAAATATTAATTTGATTCTTTGGGGACTCATTTCTCCCTGCCATGCTAAAAAAAGGAAGTTGAGGGGAAGGTCCCTTCTTTCAGGGAATCTGAAGAAAATTGCATTTATTGTGTATTTTTGTTTATCTGCTGCTTGGTGTCTCTCTGTTCCTTTTTTTAAACATGGCCTGTTTGGTTTGTGTGAGATCTTCTGAGTAAACTAGTCCAGCTCCCCATCTGATGTCTGAATCTCTTCTGCCTTCTCACCTCATGTTCACACACTTCTAGAGTGGGGGAGCTCACCGCCATCCTCAAAGTACCTGTCCCACCTTCAGTCAGTTCCCTCTTTTGGAGCTCTTGTTCCCTCTGAACAATGCCAAGCAAATCTTCTTATCAGCCACAGGTCACAGATTTCTGGGGCAACCATTCACACGCGATGCAGTGGGGTCAGATTCGACAGTATATTCGTGGTATCTGTGGGAGAAATGGTGCCCCCGATGTTGTGTGCTGCTGCAGCCATGATCGAGTGCAGTTATGAGCAGAGAATTCCTTGGCAAAGGATTCCTTTCCAGGGCAAAGGATGGGCAGGGAGTAGCTGCCTTCCAAGATGACAGGGGAGGAAGAGCCACATTGCTGTCAAGGTTGCCTCTGCCCATAAGGCTTTGGCATTCAGGCTACTCTGTTACACAGGAAAAAATGTTGTGCTTGGAGACTTGTGTTCAAGTTCTGGATCTGCCTCTGGCTTTGACCTTAAGAAAGTCTAGTCCACCATTTCCTAAATCCGGGGTTGGCAACATTTTCATAAAGGTCCAGACAGTAAATATGTTAGGCTTTGCAGGTCACGTGGTCTTTATTGCAACTACTCAACTTTTTTGTTGCAGTGCCAAAGAAGCTATAGATAATTTGTAGGAAAGAAAGAAAGAAAGAAAGAAAGAAAGAAAGAAAGACAGACAGACAAAGGGAGGAAGGAAGGAAGGAAGGAAGGAAGGAAGGAAGGAAGGAAGGAAGGAAGGAAGGAAGAAAAAAGAAAAATAATGTGCATAGCTGTATTACAATAAAACATTATTTGAGTAGCAGGCCTGGTTGATCCCACAGGCTGTCATTTACCATCCCTAAGATATAAAAGAGGTATGATGATACCATCTCTGGCTATCTCATAACATCTAATCATTGCCATGATCAGATTAGTTTTCTTTGACATCTATCAGGTGCTATATAAATGTCAGTTAAAATGTAAATAATTGATTGGGTAGGTCACAATGTTATGTACTTTACTGGCAAAATTTAAACCACAAAGACACTCAGAAAATTAAGACTTAGAGATGATATCTGTTAGGGTACAGAAAACTAGCTTACGTAATGTAGGATTTTATTGGCCCATGTGGCTGTAAATGTCACAGGTGGGAGAGAGTTCAAGGTTGGTTTGATCAAGGAATTCAAAACCAGGAAAAATTTCTTTCCATCTCTTATCCCTGCTTTCCATAGCATCAGTCTCATCTTATGACAGGCTTCTGTTATAGTCACAGTTGGCTGCTGTCCTTGAGGCCATAGAGAGAGAGAGAGGGACAGAGGAGATCTCTTCTCAGCATTCATAGCCAAAGTCTTCATTTTCATTCTGATTGGACTGGCTTAAGTCACATGCCTTCTCCTGAACCAACCACTCTGATGAGGAAGGAAAGTGCTAATTGGCTTAAAACAATGAAGACCCATCTCTAAGAGTAAGGTCATTGTGATACATGGCACATCCGAGGCATAGGGACGAGTAGATCCTGAGGTGAAAACCAGAAGATGTTAGGGAAGGGGAGTTTTGGGTGGTAACCAATAGATGTTCACTATGGAGCACTAACCCCCTGAGCTATGCTACCGCCCTTGCCCTAATAAACAGCATAAGAATTATTTAATCCCACTGTAAGCTACACAAGCTTTTCAAACTAGCATTTTCTGGGTTTTTTTTAAGGTCAATTTGAGTTTATTTATTTTCAAATGTCCCAGTGTATTTAGAGGATACATATCTTCCTTTACACAATCAATACAAGTTTCCCAAAGTTATTTGTTGTAAGTCAAGTGGTAAAATAAATCTACCAGAGGACTCACTATTTTTTTAAGTGGCAAAATTTTGTATAAGCTTAAGAATCTTATAGCAGAAATACTATTTCTTCTAAATTTTCTCAAAGATTCTGTAGCAATGACTTCTGTTTCTTACAATTATGGTTTTTAAATACTTGGATGTTTCCAGATTTCCAGACAACAATACTCAAGGCATACCTCAGAGATATTGTGGGTTTGGTTCCTGCCCACCATGATAAAGTGAATATGGCAATAAAGCAAGTCAAATGAATCTTTGGGTTTCCCAGTGCATATGAAAGTTATATTTACACTGTATTGTAGTCTATCAAGTATGCAATAGCAGTATGTCTAAAAAACAGTGGTTTACCTTAATTTAAAAATACTTTATTGCTAAAAAATGCTAACCACCATCTGTCTGAGCTTTCAGCATGTCATAACCCTCGTGCTGATAGAGGGTGTCGCTTCAGTGTTGATGGCTGCTGACTGCCTAGGGTGGTGGTTGCTGATGGCTGAGGAGGCTGTGACAATTTCTCAAAGCAGCAATGAAGTTTGTCACATCAATTGACTCTTCCTTTTACTTGAACACTTAGAGACCACTGTAAGACTATTAATTGCCTACTTTCAATATTGTTGTGTCTCAAGGAATAGGGAGGCCAGAGGAGAGGGAGAGAGATGGGGGAATGACTGATTTGGGGGAACAGTCAGAACACACACAACATTGATCGATTTTAACTTCACCCTTTTATATGGACGTAGTTCGTGGCACCCTAAAACAAGCACAATAGTAACATCAAAGATCATGGATCACAGATCACCATACAAAATATAATAATAATGAAAAAGTTTGAAACATGAGATTTATGAAAATGTGACACAGAGATAGAAAGTGAGTAAATGCTATTGGAAAATGGCACCAATAGACTTGATCAACACAGGATTGCCACAGACCATCAATTTGTAAAGAATGATATATCTGTGAAGTGCAAGAAAATGAGGTTTGCCTGTACATGAACTTTGGGAAGCTCTAAGTCAGTGGTTCTCATAGTGGGGGTCCCTACACTGGCAACATCAGAATCACTTGGGAACTTACTGGAAATATATATTCTCAGACCCCATCAGAGACCTACTGAATCAGATACTTGGGGGGTTACACTAATGTCTGATTTAACAAGGCCTCTAGGTGATTCTGATGCAAGTTCTAGAACCATTCACTGCGTTAATTAATTTTTTTTAACGTGTATTTATTTTTGAGACAGAGAGAGACAAAGCATGAATGGGGGAGGGTCAGAGAGAGAGGGAGACACAGAATCTGAAACAGGCTCCAGGCTCTGAGATGTCAGCACAGAGCCCAACGCGGGGCTCGAACTCACGGACTGCGAGATCATGACCTGAGCCGAAGCCAGACGCTCCACCAACTGAGCCACCCAGGCGCCTCCACTGCATTAATATGAAAATGGAAACTGGAGAAGACTGGTGGTCTGAAGTCCAGTTTTTTCACACCTAAGCTCTTTGAAATAATTGGCCCCTTTGAATGTTTCATCATATTTTTACAAAGTAGTCCTGTTTCAATAAATTGATCTCTAGTGCATAGAATGAGGGCAAGTTATCTGGAGAACTATAGTTCCTTCTTGAGTTGCTTTTGCTTTCCTATTGTATGAAAGCATCTGATCAAGTAATAATAACATAAAGACTCCCTTAATGTCTCATTAATATCTATGCCTTTCTCCAAATCTAAACATCTTCCCTGTTATCAGATATTAGCTCATTAATTGTTTATTTTTAATTTCCTGAATGTACAGGATATTTGGGTCTTTTGCAGAGGAAGGAATAAATGAAAATTTAGTATGAATGTTGTTTTGGTCTCAAGTTAGTGCCATGGCAGGAAGAGAACCTTTGAGACTTTTCTGGCCCCCAGAAGCAGAGAAGGCCCATTTGAACAGATTATGTTCAGCAGGACTGTTGAGGGGGCTCACGCAAGCAACAGCGACTTCGTACAGAACAGCACCTTTCCCATATGTGTTCTATGGAGCTTAAATGTCATCATTTGTATTTAGTAAAATTCTTAAACCTTGAAAATACTGGTTGCTACCTTGTTTTGTAAAGTTATACTCAGGTTTATGTTCAATGTTCTCCCAAAGGGCAAGTTTCAATATTGAAAAATATAAAGTAATGTGCATTGCATTTTCTAAAAAGATCTTCATGAATACACTAAAATATCTACAAACTCATGAATATCTTCTGGATGTAGATTTATAGAGACTTTTTGCAAACCTAGAAGAGTTAAGTCAGGTGAGTCAAAGCAGGAAGGTACCAGTAGCCATGTTTTAAAATTAACCAGAAGGGGGCATCTGGGTGGCTCAGTCAGTTAAGCTTCTGACTTCAGCTCAGGTCATGATCTTGAGGTTCATGAGTTTGAACCCCATGTCGGGCTGTGTGCTGACAGCTCAGAGCCTGGAGCCTGCTTCAGATTCTGTATCTCCCTATCTCTCTCTTCCTCTCCTGCTCATGCTCTGTCTCTGTCTCTCGAAAATAAATAAATGTTAAAAAATTAGAAAAATTGTTTATTCCTTACCCTTGGAAGTATGTGTACTCTTGTCTTCTTTCTCTCTGACCCTAGACAAGCTTCAATTTTGTAAACAGTGTTTTTGGCATCATCAAGGACTATGCTGAGCCTTCTGAGACCTCACTACTGATGGATTTCATCTCCATGCTCACAAAGGCAAAATCCTTCTGGGACATCCCAGTTTCATGCAGTAAATTCACCCACCTCCCAGGATAGCTGTTTACATCCCCTTGATGTGTGCGTGTGTGTTATTGTGCTTGAGAAAGTTCTATCAGCACCCTCCCACAAAGGAACCATCATCTGATGCTCTGTCAGTTGACATTTTCAAAAATAACTGGCAGATTTCTGTTTGCCATTGTCACCTCTCCTGTGTGGGTTTTATTAACAGAAAATTCTGCATTCATGGAAAAACCATTTCCAAGTCTGTTTTTTTAAATTGCTTCAACTTACAGCAATATTCATGGCAATAGTTAGTGTAGGCTAATTACATGGTTCAGTTCTTCTTCTAACGAGGTTCCTGGCTCTCGGAAAGGAACAAAATAAACCTTCACATTTATCAACACCTTTAATAAGACTTCTGTATGGAAGGAGAAGAAAAGAGGAAAGTCTGTACCTTTGGTATGATAAATGCTATTTACTTCCTGAGTAGATATTTGGACCTTCTCCCCCACTTTTCCACTTTGACCTTTTTAATCCATATCCTCATTCAGCAAAATTTAAATTTTTACAATCCATTTAAAAAAAATGTAGGAAAAATTTAAAAATAAAGTAAAATAAACATAGATTGAGATTTATTGAGCGCTCACTAAGTGCTTAGGTGTGGAGCTGAGACCCTATACATGATAATGTGCAAAATTAGATACACTCCCTGGTCCCGGGGAGTTTTCAGTCTAGTGGGGGAGAAATTAATCCAATAATGATGCTAATGATACAATCAAATTGAGATAAATGCTGGGGGGCAGGAAAGGAACATAGATATTATGAAAGAAAGCTTCTAGGTTGGGGAAGATGGTGAAGTAGTTACAGATAGATTCTTTGGAAGGCAGTGATGCTCGAGGTGAGATATGGAGGGAGTACTTACTAAGGTGAAACAAGCATGAAATTAGGTGATAGTAAGGAGATCTTTAGTAAATTTTGAAAACAGATTTGAATAAGAAATGCTTTGAAAAACAAGAGGAAGAATGTAGCATTGGGAATTAGATAAAATCTCAATCCTTCAGAGTCGGAACGTATTTACATGTAGTTTTTAGTAAATAGTCTGGAGAAATAGCAACTTCTCATCAAAACACATAAGTTGTATTCATCTGCTCCAGCTGCTATAACAAAATATAACAAGAGTGGGCAGTCTTGAAACAACAGAAATTTATTGCTCATAGTTCCGGAAGGTGGAAGACTGAGATGAGGGTGTCAGCATGGTCAGGTGAGGGTCCCTTCTGGTCCCATTGTATCCTCACAGGGCAGAAGGAGGTAGAGATCTCTCTGGAGCATCTTTTATAAAGGCACTAATCCCCTTCACAAGGTGTCTACCCTCATGACCTATTCTCCTAAGGGCCCACTTCCTAATACTGTCACATTAGGGGTTAGTATTTAACATATGAGTTTGAGGGGACACCAATATTCAGACCACAGCATGAGAGCACTTTACAGACTACTAAAGCATGGTGCATCAATAGACTGTTTGCCAAAGTCTATAACATAACCCACACGTGAATGCTTCACATAATGTTACAAGTGTGCAAAGATGGATTATAAAAGCTTTTCCTGAATTTAAAAAGTCCTCTATCGGTCAGGTTAAATTCATTTTTGTACCACAATAACAGTCCCCAAATCTCAGTGGCTTGGCTCATATCTCACTTATGCTCTGTTTCCATTTTTTTGTCACTGACCTCGCTCTGGGACCCATGCTGAGGGAGCAGCCACCACCTGGAATGTTACCAGTCTTCATGGCAAAGACATAAGAGATTAGGGCAAAGCACTCACTGACTCTTCAAGTTTCTGCCTGAAGCAACGCACGGCATGTCTGTTGATACTTCAAAGGTCAAAGACAGGCACGTGGCCAAGCTCACCCTCAGTGGAGGGGGTACGTGCAATCCTCCCCAGGAAGGGGAAGCAGACGAAGGGTAATACCACAGTGCCTCACAAGAAGCTCACCAGGGCAAGACTGGGACATTTGTTATTCACACGGGAGCCATTTCGTACGTCACCATGAAGGAAAATGAGGTTTGCAGTGGTTAGATAATTTGGCCAAGGTCACAGAACTAATATGTTGTGGACCTGGACTTCTAAGCCTGAGTCTGCGTGGTCTTAATGATAGCCTCTGGGCAATGGCAGTTCTCAAGCATCTCAGTGCCTCCTGAGAAGACCTGCTCTCTATTTCCTGCCCAGGCATCAAAGCCCCCTACTCGAAAATAAACTCACATCATTGTCTTTCAAATTACTTCTTGTTGAAGCCAAACTGTGACCTTTCTCCCCATAGCATTTTGTCTGCTGAGGTCCTATAACAAAAATATTTTCTGGGTTTTTGTTATCTCTGTCTTTACTGCTGTCACTTCCTTTAGTGGCTTTTTACACTGGGTCCGCTTTCTCTACTCCCTAGAGTGGTAGGTAACATTATCAGAAGCACATCTGTCTTCCTTCTCTCGCTCCATCACATTGTCACACTGTTGGAAAACTCTTAATGGGACACATTACTCATTATTTTAATAAATAGGTCTATCAAGGAGCATGTAGGTTTAGCAACATGGTAGGCACTATGGAATCCTGAAGAAGAGTGTCTGAAGCATTGGCAACAAGAAAAGAGTGACTGTCATCCCAAAGACACACTTTGCTAGGCTGGTGGCACTTTGTATGATGTGTTCTGTTTGACCCTTAGATATATGAACATATACATATGAATTGGCCATCTGCCTTATGCTAAAATAAATTTGAGATGGCTTACAAATGTGAAGTCTTTTTTTTAATGTTTATGTTTGAGAGAGAGCACAAGCAGGGGAGGGGCAGAGAGATACGGGGACAGAGGGTCTGAGGCAAGCTCTGTGCGGAGAGCAGAGAGCCTAATGCAGGGCTCGAACTAACGGACCGTGAGATCACGACCTGAGTCTGACGCTTAGCCGACAGAGCCACCCAGACACCCCCCCAAATGTGAAGTCTTTAGAGCAGGTTTCAGACATTAAACAAGAATAATGAAGACAAGGGAAGAGAAGTGCTGAGCCCAGTACATTTAATGGATGCCCCCCCCCCAAATTTAATGCTATATTTTTAGAAGCCAGCAGGAAAATTAACTTTATGGATATTTTTGAGGACTATTGGATGAAGTGTAAAATGTTGCTACTTTAATCACTTACTACTAACACCAGCTTAACTAATCAACCAACATGAGCACGGAAATCAAAGGTGATATTTGTATCAGAAACCATGCGGGATATGTAGGCCTCAACAAAGCCAACCGGAGGTAAAGCGTGAATTAAATTAAGATATCCAAAGGAGGGGTACCTTGGTGGCTTAGTCGGTTAAGCTTCGGACTTCAGTTCAGGTCATGATCTCATGGCTCATTAGTTCAAGCCCCACCTCAGGCTCACTGCTGTCAGCACAGAGCCCACTTCAGATCTTCTGTCCCTTCTCTCTCTGCCCCTCCCCTACTCATTCTCTCTCTCTCTCTCTCTCTCTCAAAAATAAACATTAAAAAAAAAAAGATGTCTTAAGTAGAATTTTCTTTAAGCATGTGGGAGATGGGGGGAGTTGGTTTCTTGAGCAGTGAACTGTTTATTATGGGAATACCATTTCGGTTTTGAAAAAGGTTATAATGAAGACGACCTGTTTCTATCCACGCGGTCACAGCTCCTGCTTGATAACGGTGGCTTTCCAGTTTTCCCTGTTGTGATTAACGGTACAGGTGAAGAGAAAGTCCATGCTTTCCTTGACTATGAGCCTCCTTCTGCTTCTCTTCCTGCGGTGTTTCTGAGGCAGCCTCTGTCAGAGCCACCAGACCTACTGCCTGAATTACTTAGTCACTGTCTTTTATCTCGAGAGCCTGAGGCAAAGAGATGACTTTGGGATTTATTTAAAAGGAAAGTACCATTTTCTTTTATATTTTTCCTAAGACTCTTTGGACATAACAGGTACTGGGAATTATTACACCCCAATTAAATGGGAAAGAAGATGAATGCTCAACAACACATTTTAACTACAAATCTGCTTTCCCCATAAATACATGGTCCACTGCACACTTTGGAATTTTAAATGGTGCACATCTGGAAACATTACATCATCTTTCTTTCCTGAAATTTGGGTAGGGCTTAAAAATGTTTTCTTTGTTCATTGGTTTGTTTGTGGAAGAAATTGGTACAGTGTAAGGAGAAAATAGGACCAAAAACGAGGCTTTGTTTGTGACCAGAAGTTTGGCTATTTTGCGATTTGGTTCCAGGAAAATCCTAGTGCGCAAAAGCCTGAAGGACCCTTTACGTTGTAGTCTATGTGAATGGCGGCCCCTCGGACACCTCATGGAGCACAACGGAAATGTTGGCCCTGACCTTGTACAACATGGCAGCAGTGGCTTCCAAAGTACCAGAACAAGGAATTTCTGCTGGGGAACTTAAGCATTTGTTAATAAGCAAATCTTGAAGGAATTTTCCTTGACTTCTCTAGCTCCTTTGACCAACCCTCTTCCCTTTGGTATTTCTTTAGTCTGACCTGTACCTTTTCAGTATCATGCCAGAGCCCTTCTGTGTGATCCAGAGAAAATGGTCCAAGCTTTTCCAGAAAACCAGCTCTTCCCTGCAGCTGCAAGTAGCCCCACCAGGGCATCAGCTCAGAGGCAAGGCAAAGGAGGAAAGGCCACCATTTTCCCCAAAGACTTCGCTGTGGATCAGTGCACCTTTGCCATGGCCCAGATGTGCCAGAAAGCCTGGTTGTGGAATGACCCAAGAAAAGAAAAATGATCTTTGGGAAGAGACTTGGCTCCTTTTTTGTAGCTTCAGCCTTTCAGTATTTAATTTGCTACTCAAACTGAAGCTCATTAGATTTCCAAATATATGAATAACCCTACTGCAAAAGTTTTCCCTGGAAGCTGATGGATTAGACTCTTAGCCAGGGACCCAAACTGGGAAGAATCCAGGTCCATTTCTCTCCCTTCCAAGCTAGGACAGAGATGAATTTAACAAAGCTCAGCCACTGCTTCCAAACGACTGTGGAAAAATCTCATATCAACTGGTTTACATTTACACGTGAAATATATATAGCAGCCAAAGATAGTTAGGGAAAAGAAATAGGGGGTGAAATGTTGTAATGGTAACATACAATACCCTTACAATGCATAATACTTTACCAGGCACTTTGTCAAGCATTTCTTTTAATCCTTAGCACAAAACTATAAAGTTGATTACATGTTCCCCATATGTCCCTGAGGCTAAGAAAGATTATGTGACTTTATAAGGTCACATGGCCAGTAGGTGGCAAAAAAGAACCTGGATAAAAGTCTTCAGGCAAAAAAAAAAAAAAAAAATCCAATGGTCTTTCCACCAGAACTATTTCCAACACCTCAGGTAAATTTCCCATTGCTGGGGAGCTGTTAGCCTCATGAAACAAAACTGAGGAGTCAGGTAGAGGCTCTGGAAGAACGGAAGGTGCATCTGCCTTCCTCAGCCCCATGGTACGAAGCAAAAGCATCACCACACACAGGTAGTTAATCATAATATTACAATACATACAAGATATACAATACATATAAGAATACATATAAGAATTATAATGCTCATAACATGTAATAATTATAAAATAATAATAATAATAATAATGTAATAGTAAGTAAAAATAATAAAGGTGACTCATTCTTGAGCCCTTGTTATGGCCAGGCACTGTGCTGCGTGCTAGACATCTATGATCTCTTTGTCTATACAGTGCCCCTGTGAGATCTGATATTATCCTCATTTTTCAGGAGCTTAGATAAATTAGGCAACTTGCTGGAAGATACAGTCGTTCAAGGAAGAGGCCGGCAGGATTCCAGTTCAGTCCTGTCTGAAGCTGACATTCGTTCTCCTACTATGCTCTGATGTAAGCGTGGTTGGGGCACCTGGGTGGCTCATCAGTTAAGGGTCTGACTTCAGTTCAGGTCATGATCTGAATTGTGGGTTGTGAGCTCGAGCCCCACATCAGGTAAGGCCGAGCCCCACTTCAGGTAAAACACGAACCCTGCTTCTCTCTCTCTCTCTCTCTCTCCCTCTCTTTTTCTCCGCCCCTCACTCACTTGCACCCTCTCTCTCAAACAAACAAACAAACAAACAAACAACAAACAGCGTTGTTGGAGAACTGAAATCTGTGTCATGCTATGGGTTGCCTGGAATTGGGCTCTGAATGCACTGGGATGAATTTACCCCCGTACCACATGGGCCTGGGCTCTATGAGTGTCTGTACGTTGTGTTGGCAAACACTGATGGGAGTAGAATGCTCCCTGCTCTTTCCTAAACAGTCAGGACGAGACAGAGAAAGAGACAAAACTTTATACTAGGTCTCTTCGTGCGGTTCGACTAAACAGTGGCTAAGACCTCTCTCTACCTACCATAGACCGAGTGTTTGAGAAATACCAGACACTGTTCTGGGCACTTTGCGTAGATTATCTCATCAAAACCCCTCACCAACCTGATGAAATCATCATTCTCATTATCCATTTCACAGATGAGGTTTAGGGAGCTTAAGCATATTTCCCAAGATCCCACAAACGCTGGCTGCCCAGCACCATGCTGTGTCCCACCAAGACAGATTTATGAGAAGAATGTTTGATTTGGGGCCCTGAATTCCTTTCACTGATCCCCTAAACACATTGGATACTTAGTACAAAACAAAAGCAGATCCTATTGCTCTAGACCCATCCATTGAAAGGCCTTTTATGTCCACTCTTTCTTGATAGAGATGTTCTTTTCTTCCCTAATGCACCTGAAAAATAAATCCAAAAGGGGAGATAAAAGAAAAACTCATAGCTACTTTTAGAATCATCAAATAGCTTTATTCTCTCTTCTGAGGAGTTTCAAAACTCTAAAAGCTTCCAATTACCTGCCTGGATCTTTGTCTAAATTATTTACCATTGATACTTCCTGCCTGATATTGTTATGTGGGGGAGATTGCGTGTTGCTACATTTACCTGCACTAAAAGTGGGTGCTGGCCACCAGAGCTGTCCCCTGAGGCGTGGAAATATGGGGCAATGGCCTGGGCCTGTGTGTTTTGAGGAAACCCATTACTGGAGCTCCCAGCCACCCTGGCTGGAATGCAGCTGCCAGTGAGTCAGCATGGAAATCAGCCACTAAGCCCACAGATGAAGGCCCTCTCCCCCCACTCCTCTTCTCACAGTTTCCACCCCCAGCCTCTCCACACCTGCGGTTCCAGCGTCCTTCCTCATCCTTCCCAACCTTGATGAGAATCACAGCCATTTTGACCAGATGAGAACTTGGAGGTGGTCTAGAAACTTCTGCAATTTTCCAAAACAGGAATCTGGGGTGCAGAGAAGGGAAGGGGATCCTCAGAAAACCTTGAAGCCTTGCTCCTAGAGTTCCATTCATCATGCACCCAAGTACTCACTTTCATGACCTGCCATTGGTATATGGGGAAGTGGAAAAGGCTGTGTCTGGCAGAATTCCTGTGAGGAATGAGCCCTGAATGTTTTCAGAAGAAATACTTTGATAAAGCTGCTAGCGTGGCCAAATGAGAAGCCTGTCCGTGGTGGATGAGGTCAAACTGTGAAAGACAAGCATAAATTGCTAAGCAAGAGGCTGAGAGAGAAAGGGGGCAAAGTTCAGGGGTAAGGGAGACAAAGAGCTCTCTTTTCAGAGAAGAGAATGGCACCAGAAAAATGGCGGAGGGCTGTGGGCCATGTATTTGACCCCTCCCCACAACCCAAAATCTTCAGTAAAATAAATACGTAATTCATAAAGTGTTTGGCAGGAGGGGGTTAACAGTGGAAACCAACATAGGAAACCAACCAATGGACCTGGCTTGGCATTTGTCCCATGCTGTTCAAAAAAGAAGTATGTGTGCAAACAGGAGTCCAGGGGCCAGAGAAAGCCATTGGAATGTCCGTGTCTCTCAGTGAGTTTCTAAATATGTACATAAGGGCTTTGGACTTCCCTGGGCCATTGAGTCAGCTGTACCCAGATCTCCAAAATGCAAGGGCTGACATGTGGGCATAAAGATGGATGCAGCTGTCTTTGGGGAAGCAAAGAGAATCTCTATAGTGTGCCTTAGCCCACTTGAGGCTGGTCCTGGAGTGCCTTGGTCACAAGACAAAGGATTTAACCTGGGCCTGGACTGAGCATAAAAGTGGAAAAGGGGCAATAGCCTGCAGCACAAAAAAAATGTTTTAAAAAATTTTTAATGTTTATTGATTTATTTGGGAAGAGAGAGCACAAGCATGGGGGGCGAAGAGAGAGAAAAAATATCAAGAATCCCAAGCAGGTTCTGCGCCGTCAGCTCAGAGCCTGATGTGGGGCTCGATCTCACGAACCATAAGATCATGACCTGAGCTGAAATCGAGTCAGATGCTCAACTGTATGAGCCACCCACGTGCCCCAAGGAAAACATTTAGTTAAGGGTAGGACCCTTTTACAGCTCAACTCAGGTGGGAGAAGAGAAGAGGGAGAGAACACACTAACAGTACGAATAGTACTTTTTGATGCACCTGTGTGCATAGCAGCCAAACACTGGGTTCCACTCGTCATATGTCATCAAAAGCCAGGGCCCCTCCGTTCAAGACCATGTCGCATTCCAAAAAACAGTCCAGCGGATGAAAGAAATGGAAGAGCCGTTAGCACCTTCACTTGTGTCTCTCAAATGCCTTTGATGGAAATTCAGTGTATAACCCATAGCAGTACTTACTCAAATCTTCCCGGTGCTTGCACACCTTGCAACTGCCTTTTGGCCCAACCTCTCCCTATTGAAAATTGTCTGTCTTTATCCCTCCTCATTCCTGTCTCTGCTCTATATCATGTAGATCAACTTAGCCTCTTGACTTCTGTTTTCACTTTCTCTTCATTGCCCTGAATCTCAGCGACAAAGGAGACTTGAAGAACTGCCCCAATGAACAAAATTCCTTCCTTTCCCTTTTACCCCCATGTGCATCCTCAGTTCTCCTAACTGTGCATCACAGTGAGGATGGGAGCAGAGCTGGTGAAACCAGAAATCTCCACCAAGGGCCAGGGAGAAGGGAGAAACCAATGGGTGAAACTAAACTCTTAAGTGAGAAGGGCAGACAAAGCTGGAACGTGTATATTAATATATCTTATCACTGCCATGGGTAGACCATGCATTCTCTGGGAGATTTAACAAATTTCACACTTTTCCAGCACATCAAAATCATGACGAATTTCCAAACTATTTAGGAGGATTGGGTGGTGTCACATGGAGGGCTGAGTACGGCTGCCTTTATCACCATTACTGGGGAGACAAGACATCTGAACAAGGAGTCTTTCGTTTCTTTAACTGGAAAGTAACAAGTCAGTAATATTCAATAATACTTCTTTTTTTTTATTTTGTTAATGTTTATTTATGAGAGAGAGAGAGAGAGAGAGAGAGAGAGCAGGGAAGGGGCAGAGAGAGGGAAACAGAGAATCAGAATCAAGGTCCAGGCTCCAAGCTGTCAGCACAGAGCCCGACGTAGGGCTCGAACCCACGAACCCTGAGATCATGACCTGAGCTGAAGTCAGACACTTAACCGACTGAGCCACCCAGGCGCCCCTCAATAGTACTTCTTAACCATATTTAACGACCCCATTTCCAACCCTGATTTTGGCACTGGTGGGTAGATACTTGCTAAAGACAGTTTAATATGGAATTTTCAAAACCAAAGTCTAGTCTGCGGCTTATAAACTTTCCTAGCAAGCTCACAGGTATGTCATAGAATTACTGAATAAAGTCTCTAAGAGTTTCCCATGTCCAGGCTTCTCAGTGCCTTAATAGGAGAAGTGATATTCTGAAAGTCTGCTTTTGGCTTCTGCAGTGGTGTGAGCAAAATGAACAGTGAGGACGGCTCCACCTGCCTGAGCTGCTGGTGGCCCCACTGGACAGGTGGGGTGACTCGGCACCTTGTTGCTGAAGAATGTCTGGAAATGGAGTAGAGACTCTATGGAGAAAATCATGATCTACAGCATCAAGGAAAAGATGGAAAGGTCAATCAGTAAGCCCCTGAGATAGGTGACCCAGAGCTCCAGTCTAAGTTTACTCAAAGCGATGGAGGGCCCCGTGGCTGCTGGGAACCATTTGGACTTCCACACTAGAAGGCAATTCCATTGACTTGAGGTCATGGCTCTCGGAAACATGGATTCGAGTGGGAGTGCATTGTAAATCAAACACGCAAAACAATGGACTCCAGTCACATCCTGGCAGACCCGATGAGAACTCCCACGCCAAGTTTGTGCAGGACTGGCTCTGTCTCCAAGGCGTTCAGAAGTGAGTTCAGGCAGGAAAGACCTACTTCCCAGATGATTGAAAGCACTTTGTGTTTCACATCCATGCTGAACCCACACACAAAGCAAATGGGGGTAAACACCATGGGGAGCCTTTCCGGAGGCTAAATTATCATTCATCTTTTTTTTTTTTTTTTAGGTCACTGAAATCCAGAGCTCATCTAAAATTATGCCAGCTGCAGTCTCGAGAACTGAAATTTGGGAATAGGAACTAAGCAAGTCCTCTGATGCCTTAAGTTTATTTGTGGAGCTTTCTATAACTAAATTCAAATAAAGAAACCTTTGATATATTCCCATAAACCAAGATTTTCTGGGAAGCATCCAAAGGGAGCAACTCAAATTGACGATTATCAGCTGTACAGAAATAATACTTTTTTGCAAGTTTCAAAGTAAAATGGCCATTCAGTTGGGAGTTTCTTCCCTCTTTCTAAATTTTTTGTTCAAATTCTAAAATGACCCTAGGAACTTGAATTGAGCTTATTAAGTGAACAAGACAAAAACTCAAAGCAAGACTTTTTAAAACTTTGCAGATTATTACTCATTTTGATAGGTTTGTGAGATGGGGAACAGCATCTCTTCTGGAGATTTCTCAATAAAAAAAAAAAATAGATCCTTATCATTGAGGGAAGAGACTCCTGTGGCTTCCTATAAGTCTATGAGCTTAAAGATGAATTCTCAAGAATCCCACCCACCGTGTGATTCTGTGGGTCTATGACTTGCCCTCCATACTTCCAAAAATTATTTCAAAAGCTCATTAGTAATATGTTATTTTAATGTGGGAAAATTAATATAAACCCTCAGAAGAGAAAATGAGTTCTTGTCAAAAAGCAATAATCATCCTTATGAAGTTAATGTAGGTTTTACGGTTAGTACAAAAGATACGTTTGTCCTTGTTTGTCTGATTTTCCCACCTCTAATTAAAGACTATATGGTGTAGGGATGAAGAGAAACCTACAAAGGCTTTATTAATATTATTGAAATAAAAATGCACAATACATTTCCAACTTACTGAATTAAATTAATTAAGCTTCATTTTTCTCTTCAAGACGCTGATTTCAAATTAGTGCATTTTTCTAAGACATTTAAACAACAAGCATGGCACAAAAACAGACACATAGACCAATGGAATAGAATAGAAACCCCAGAACTAGACCCACAAATGTATGGCCAACTCATCTTTGACAAAGCAGGAAAGAACATCCAATGGAAAAAAGACAGTCTCTTTAACAAATGGTGCTGGGAGAACTGGACAGCAACATGCAGAAGGTTGAAACTAGACCACTTTCTCACACCATTCACAAAAATAAACTCAAAATGGATAAAGGACCTGAATGTGAGACAGGAAACCATCAAAACCTTAGAGGAGAAAGCAGGAAAAGACCTCTCTGACCTCAGCCGTAGCAATCTCTTACTCGACACATCCCCAAAGGCAAGGGAATTAAAAACAAAAGTGAATTACTGGGACCTTATGAAGATAAAAAGCTTCTGCACAGCAAAGGAAACAACCAACAAAACGAAAAGGCAACCAACGGAATGGGAAAAGATATTTGCAAATGACATATCGGACAAAGGGCTAGTATCCAAAATCTATAAAGAGCTCACCAAACTCCACACCCGAAAAGCAAACAACCCAGTGAAGAAATGGGCAGAAAACATGAATAGACACTTCTCTAAAGAAGACATCCGGATGGCCAACAGGCACATGAAAAGATGTTCAGCGTCGCTCCTTATCAGGGAAATACAAATCAAAACCACACTCAGATATCACCTCACGCCAGTCAGAGTGGCCAAAATGAACAAATCAGGAGACTATAGATGCTGGAGAGGATGTGGAGAAACGGGAACCCTCTTGCACCGTTGGTGGGAATGCAAATTGGTGCAGCCGCTCTGGAAAGCAGTGTGGAGGTTCCTCAGAAAATTAAAAATAGACCTACCCTATGACCCAGCAATAGCACTGCTAGGAATTTATCCAAGGGACACAGGAGTACTGATGCATAGGGGCACTTGTACCCCAATGTTCATAGCAGTACTCTCAACAATAGCCAAATGATGGAAAGAGCCTAAATGTCCATCAACTGATGAATGGATAAAGAAATTGTGGTTTATATACACTATGGAATACTACGTGGCAATGAGAAAAAATGAAATATGGCCTTTTGTAGCAACGTGGATGGAACTGGAGAGTGTGATGCTAAGTGAAATAAGCCATACAGAGAAAGACAGATACCATATGGTTTCACTCTTATGTGGATCCTGAGAAACTTAACAGGAACCCATGGGGGAGGGGAGGGAAAAAAAAAAAAAAAGAGGTTAGAGTGGGAGAGAGCCAAAGCATAAGAGACTGTTGAGAACTGAGAGCAAACTGAGGGTTGATGGGGGGTGGGAGGGAGGAGAGGGTGGGTGATGGGTATTGAGGAGGGCACCTTTTGGGATGAGCACTGGGGGTTGTATGGAAACCAATTTGACAATAAATTTCATATATAAATAAAAAAAATAAAAAAAATAAAAAAAAAAAAAACAAGCAATATGTTAAATGAACCTAAGATACGGTTTGGCTCCAGGGATAGTCAGTGTTTCTAAATGATTTCTGTGGATCTTGGTTAACTTTTATGCTGCAATGTCACATGCATTTAAAAATATATTGATTGTGTCTTGTTTTTCAGGGATCCTTGAAGGAAAAGTGAAGTGGCTTGACAATTGCCAAAAATGTAGACATCTACGGAAGATTTTTGTGTGGCCTCTACTATGGGATAGAAACAAAAAGCTTCATTCCAGAGGTACACAAATGTTCAATTAGGACTTATGTCCCTCCCCAGAAGTTTGGTACGTAGATGGAAATTGTTAAACTAGTCCTACAAAGTCCCCAGCTGTCCACTTGAATAATAAATCTAAGTTTATGAACCAGAAGTAAAGCCTTCATCCACATGGCATTGTATGTGGGAGGCTGACATCATCAGACATTCTTGGGGTGGCCCTTCCGAGCAGTTTTCCATTCTTTCCCATTCTCAGGTCCACCTTCCAGCATTTCCTAATGTTGCAAATCTTCTGGGTAAAATGTGCTGCCCCGGTTCCTGGAATATGTTCTCTTTTAATCACTCACAATATCTCTGTGATTTTCTCTCCTTGTTTTGCCTGAAACATATTTTTAAAGAACACATGGCAGAAAACATCTTGTCACCAACCACCAGACAACTTTTCTATGAAGGAAAATTAACTCTTGCAGGCAAATGCTGCTTCCTTTAAAAATTCAACATCTTTGGGGGCACCTGGGTGGCTCAGTCAGTTAAGCATTCAACTTGGGTCATGATCTCATGGTTTGTGGGTTGGAGCCCCATGTCGGGCTCTGTGCTGACAGCTTGGAGCCTGGAGACTGCTTCAGATTCTGTATCTCTTTCTCTCTCTGCCCATCTCTCACTTGTGCTCTGTCTCTCTCTCAAAAATAAATAAACATTAAAACAAAATTTTTTTTGATTCAACATCTATGCTATCTTGTAACTTGTCCAATCATTACTAATTGAAGTGTGGGAGGAATCGCATTTGCTCTGTATGGCTGAGGCAATGGAAAATGTGGATCAGAGCATCCTAGGGACTCATGCAGACTCTGGCTTGATCAAAGACTTCACAGCATAACTAGCTCCAGGCCCTCCATTTTCTCCCTATGAAATGGGATGACCATAAGGCCGTTGTTAAAATGAAGTAATATACATGAAGAGCTTAGCTCGTGGTCTGAAATACGGTAAACACTCGACATCACCTGTTATCATCATCATTTTACTCCCCCAGTGACTGGGGCGGCCACCCTGTCAATTGGGACCCTATTATGTAATACACGCTGTGCTAGGTAGATACCATTGGAGAATATAAAGTAATTGTTCTGTATAATCCTTTCCCTCTGGCTGAGAAGCTCTGCCATAATGAGCAGACCTGCAGCGTAAGTTCAGAAAAGCTAAGAGTCTGTGAAGCTGGCGTACTGGGGTGGTCCATGGGGCTGGAGGTGGGTTTGGGGGTATAGAAAGGATAGAGGTCCCTGGAAGGACAGGAGGGATTACATCCCAGATGAGAAGCATAGCAGGAAGAAAGGCTTGGAGGCAGAAGCCACCCGGCAGGTGGAGACTCTAGCAACATGGTTTGAGGTCCAGAGGGCGAGCCCCCCGAGGCTGACTGCCAGGCTCGCTTCCTGGCTCAGCCTGTTGTGCCTGTGTGACCTCGGGCCCCTACAGCAATCCTGCCACACTTCAGTTTCCTCTCTTTGTTGTGAGGATTCAATGAGCTGATGGATAGGCACTCGAAAGAATGGCTGGCACCCAGCCGGTGCTCAGTAAATACTATCATGATCAGAAAGGGCTGCCAGACTGAAATAAGATTTGCATTCACTCATTGATTCATGTCTGCATAGACTCTTGATTAGTCACCTGCTGTGTGTGAAGCCCTGCCGGAAGTGGGGTTGCCTATTTATGGTCATGTGATCCAGGGGGCGGAGCTGGGCGCTAATTCCTTACTGAATACACCTCGTTGAGAATCTCCTCTAATTTAGGGAGAGCGCTAGATGGCAGTTCAGGACACAATGCCCACCTGGCAACTGCCGTTTAGGAAAGATAGACATGCCCAGCAATTGACCTCAAGGGGCCGTCTCATGCATTTTCTCCTTCCAGTGAGTTATGCAGAGAAGTTACACTTAATTCCATGTTATAGGTAAGGAATCTGAGGCTTAGGGAGGTTCTAGAATCGTCCTCAAGGCCACCTGGCTGATTAAATGGCAGAGATCAGACCTGCACCAGGCCACCTCAGCATAGCAGGCTTCCAGAATCACAGCAACTACCTTGGAAACCAAGCAGAGGGACCCAGCCAGAAAACTGCTGGCAACAAGAAGTCATTGAGCTCTTGGATAGGAGCATGATAGGTTTAAAGGGCTGTTGAAGAAAGAGTTATCAGAAGCAAAGCACAAAACGGCACAGAGCTGCAGGAGGGTACCAGAGCACAGAGACCCGCTGCAAATTCCTCAGTGAAGCAGGGTGGGGTGAAAAGAGCCGGGCCTGGGCTTCTCAACTGTTCTTGACCTGCAGGCCACGCCCCTCCCACTTCCTTTCGAAAAGATGACAATTTTAATTTTCTTTGATGTTATCACCACTTTAAAAATAATTTTGCATTGTGACAAAACCAAATCAAAGTAATGAAGCAAAACACAGCTCTGTGCTCAAACATGACTCTCCCTCCAAAATCGGCCTCCACCTGGAATTATCAGAGATTTTTATGGACCCCTGTCTTCTATCTACCAAATTCCCAACACTGTAAGGGGCACTGACCTATCCTAAAATGTTAGAAATGAACACAAATAGAAAAAGATAAATGGGAGAGATGTTTCAAAGGCAAAAGCAGGAGGACCTTTTGATGGACAAAGTGGGTGAAGAGGGAACAAGTCGAAGCCGTCCCCGGGTGTCCTAACCTATCTGCTGAAAGGCTGGTTGAGCAACAACACTGAGACTGGCGGAGAGAGTGGGTCAGAGAGTCAGTTTTGAGGCTCGGGTTTGGGCATCATGAGAAGTCAGGTGGAACCTGGAGGACATGCCCATGACCATCACTCGGTGAAGAGCCACGTGAAGATGTGCATTCACATGTCATGTGGGAGCGAGGTGTTTGTCGTGGAAACCTGGATGGGATGCTGGCTCTGCCATCCCTGGGAAATCGCTTTTTCTGTGTGGTCCAAGACGAGTCACTGGCATGTCTCCATTCTAGCCGGGGGGAAGTGGAAAGGGGGACAGGAGATCAGAGCTTTGCTGTTTAAGGACATGGCCCAGAAGCTGCACACTTTTGTTCATATTCATTGGTCAGATTTAGTCGCTTGGTCATTTTTAACCACAGGGGAGCTTGGAGATGTAGTATTTATTGGAAATGGACATGTACCCACTAAAACTCAGAAATTCTGTTACTACAAAGGAGGGGTGAAAAGTTTTTGAGGGACAACCAGCAAGCAGTCTTTGCCACAACCTCATTTGCAAAAAGTAAGTTTCGTAGTGATGAAATGCAATTTGTAAAAAATATTCAAGGACAGGGTGCCTGGGTGGCTCAGTTTGTTAAGCGTGCAACTTCAGCTTGGGTCATGATCTCATGGTTCATGGGTTCGGGCCCCACATCTGGTTCTGTGCTGACAGCTCGAAGCCTAGAGCCTGCTTCAGATTCCGTATCACCCTCTCTCTCTGCCCCTCCCCCATTCATGCTCCCTGTCTCCCAAAAATGAATAAATGTTAAAAAAAAATTTTTTAGTTTCTTTTTAATGTTTATTTATTTTTGAGAGAGAGACAGAGCATGAAGGGGGAGCGGCAGAGAGAGAGGGAGACACAGAATCTGAAGCAGGCTCTGAGCTGTCAGCGCAGAGCCCAATGCAGGGCTTGAACCCGCAAACTGCGAGATCATGACCTGAGCTGAAGTCAAACGCTTAACCAACTGAGCCACCCAGGCGCCCCAAATTTTTTTAAAAAAATTCAAGGATAGGGGCACCTGCATGGCTCAGTTGGTTAAGCATCTGACTCTTGATTTCAGCTTAGGTCATGATCTCATCATTAGTGAGACTAAGCCCCACGTTGGGCTCTGTGCTGAGTGGGGAGCCTGCTTGGGATTCTCTCTCTCCCTCTCTCTCTCCCTGCACTGCCTTCACTCATGCTCTCTGTCTGTCTCAAAATAAATAAACATTTAAAAAATATATTCAAGGACAATTCCAGATTGAATAAAATATCTGATATGCAAATATAGAATCTTTCCTCTAAACTTAAAGGAGAGGAGAAAATAGAATTGAATTCTAAATATTTTATCTACCAACTTAACCTTAAGCCACATAGTTTCCTGGGGTTACAGCACCTGAGAAAGAACTCCTAGACTAATATTAATTAACTTTTTAATTAATTTACTTATTTTTTTATATTTATTTTAAACATATGTTACATCTGCCTCTGAATGGACTGCTTTTTCCTCCGAAATCATTTATATTTAACCATTTATTTTTCTAATTTCTTTTTTTTTTTAATTTTTTTTTTCAACGTTTATTTATTTTTGGGACAGAGAGAGACAGAGCATGAACAGGGGAGGGGCAGAAAGAGAGGGAGACACAGAATCGGAAACAGGCTCCAGGCTCTGAGCCATCAGCCCAGAGCCTGACGCGGGGCTCGAACTCACGGACCACGAGATCCTGACCTGGCTGAAGTCGGACGCTCAACCGACTGCGCCACCCAGGTGCCCCTATTTTTCTAATTTCTAAGGGATAGTGTAGAATAGGGAGGGGCAATTCCTCATTTTATTATTTTTTTAAGTTTATTTGTTTAGTTTTAGAGAGACAGAGTGGGGGTGGGGCAGAGGGAGAGAGACAGAATCCCAAGCAGACTGCAAGTTGTCAGCGCAGGGCCCAACGTGAGGCTCGAACTCATGAACCGTGAGATCATAACCTGAGCAGAAACCAAGAGTCAGACGCTTAACTGACTGAGCTACCCAGGCGCCCCTCCCCATTCTATTTGATTTCTCTTCTACTACTATCCCTTTCTTAGGGAAAAATATAAAAGGCCATTTGCTTTAAGTAACTATGAAAAGTGATACCAGAAAAGTTTATAAATATAAAGCTACATGAAGAACGTTTAAACATGGATGGACACACTGCAAAACTCGAGGGGCAGGTCGCTTTACTGACTGTCTTAATCAGCTAGCGCTGTCATAACAAAATACCACAGACGGGGCCACTGTAAGGACAGCAATTTATTTCTCCCAGTTCTGGAGGCTGGGAGTGCTTGATCAAGTTCCCGGCCAATTCAGTGACTGATGAGGGCTCTCTTCTCAGCTTGCAGATGGCCTCACTCTCAGTGCCCACACGTGGCAGAGAGAATCGGCTGGCTTGTACATCCTCTTGCGACGGCACTAATCCTAATGGACCAGGGCTCCACCCTTACGCCCTCACTTCATCTTACTTACTCCTCGTAAATCCACATTGGAGGTTAGGGCTACAACATATGAGTTGGGGGAGTGGGCGGGGGACACAATTCAGCTCACAGCAATAATAAAATGCCTTTTTTTCTGGTCAAGTATACCTTGGCCAATGACCACCCGGATGGGTCGAGAGGCGAAAATATTGCAAATTCCATTAGTGGATAGATGTGTCCTAGGCTTAGCTGAAACCATTGCAAATACCAACTAAGTTACCCTGGATCCACATGAAATACATCACAAATACAATGTCTTTAAAGGCGGAAGCATGGGCTCACATCAAGTCTCTGCTTGAGGGGGAAATCGGTTTAACAGTAATGCAATTTTCTGATCCACATGATTGGAGTTTCCCAAGCTGCGAGCCTCCTGTGCCCTGACACCGCCCTGTCTTGCTTTCTAAGGGATTCTTTGATTCAAAAAACACCACCTTCTGCTTACTATTTCCAGCCCCAATTACACCTTTTTCTCCTCAGAAAGCACAAGATTCCTAGGTGTTTATCTGTTTCTCTTTGATGATTTCCTCTTAGTTGTGAAAACTAATTGCAACAAAAAGGTAAAATGCTGCTATTTCTAAATAAGTCTGCTAAATAAGCTTAGAAATATTTCTAAATAAGTTGTGTTAAAAAATATAGAAGATTGTTATACATAAGATTGGATTTCATCCTCTAAAAAATGGAGGCATGATGAAATGGAGGCATCCTCTAAAAAATGGAGGCTTTTTTTTAGTCTTGCAGCTCTGAACTGAAAAACAATACCAAAAGCAAATTACATTTCTTAAAGATGTCAAAGAATGCACACATTTTTAGAACGATTTCGTCCGTGTACTAGTGAGGTAAGTCCCAGAAGCCTGGACTTTTGGCCTCACCTGCCTAAGCAAATGAAACAAACGAAAACAAACCACTTTCATCCATGGTGGCCTTTGTCCACCAGGGTGGCCTTGCTGGGATAGCAGCGCGCATCAGTGCCTCCCCAGGTTGTCCGCCACAGCAAAAGCAGCTGCTGTCCTGTGCTGAGGTGATCTCCATCCCTCATTCTGATTTGAAAGCTCACGGGGGTTCTGAGAAATGACGATTTGGGAGCCAGGGGTGGGAGAGAGTCCCGAGCTCTCAGTGCCTACTTGTATATAAGAGCTGCAGAAGCCAATTCATGGGCAGCTGGCATCACAGACAAAAATGTGTGTGTGGCTAATGCCACAAAATCTCTTCTGAGAACAGGCATTTTTCCCATCACTTAAGTGTTGATGGTTACCACGATGGTTGTTGTTACCGCACGTTAAGCCACGGCCTCGGGGGTCTACTAAAGGCTTTCTGATCTCCCACTTCCCAGTGTGCTCCAAGTGGTAGCGGGAGGGGGGGGCCTTCTCAAAGGCTCTCAGACACCTGCCCTTAGAGTGGGGAGGAGGAGCTACGGTCTGTCTTAAGTCCTCGGAGATGTCCACTGTTGTTTCATTCTGCCTCTTTACCAAATGACTAGCTTTGCACAGATATAAGATCGCGAACTAGATAGTTCACATCTTTTAATAACCTAAGCTTCTAGGCAGCATGGTGGTAAGCTGCGCTAAATAATTTAAGGCTCTTTAAGCAATAAAAAAGATACCCATTAATCAATCTATGAATAGCTGATCGGTGTTTGGGAAGGGAACGGTTCCACAAAATATGAAGAGTCACAGTTTGGAAGGTCGGATGGCCTCCTATTTTAAGCTACCCGGACCATCCTACCTGAATAAGTCAAGCCCTAAAAAATCTCTATCTCCTTCGCAAACCTTGACGCGAACACAGCTTGCTTCCGCTTCAAATAGTGGCAGAAATGAGAGCAAGTGAACGAATGGCAGCCCGTATTAACCACAAGCTAATCTGCTGGTTTCATGCTTCACAACCGGATTCCAAAACAAAGAATGGCATGTTTTAAATTCCTCTACTTTTTCCTCTTTGCTATTTGATGCACAATATATGTCGTGCAAATCACAATCTTTGACATTCTTTTTAAAAAACTCAGCATCTTATATTCAGCATCTTAAATAATTCAATTATTTACAAATAATAGGCATGGAATCTATTTATCAGTGTTAGATTCCACGGATGGATGGAGTTGGCCAAAATGGGGCTCCCCTTTCTGATTCATCTAACATAGTACTAGAGAGACTGGAACTGAAAATCTTCCCACTCATGTGATGGAAATTTAAATGTTTCCCAGTCATGGACCTCACCCATTATTTATACAGACAATTAAACTTGGGGATCTGAAACAGTATACACTTTACGGCTTTAAATCACTATGTATTGATGGAAGGTTTTTGTGTGTCTCGCATCCATGAAATACAGCCAGACCAACACTAAACCATCCTACACACCTAGAAAACTGATTGGAGGATTAACACAACAATCTGTACAATCTGAACCACAGAATTTAGCAGGTACGCGGCGCAGAGAAGTTAACTTGGGGAGCGAGAAGGTGGAGGGAGGTGCTTTTGCGAGTGGAGAGAGGACGGAGACTGGGTGGGTCTGGGGGGGGGGGTGGAAAATACGGGAAAAGCACCCCTCCCCAAAAGCAGCTGGAGAGAAAGTGGAAAATTGGAAACAGCCGCAGGGACTAAACTAAAAAGGGAGAAAGGAGGAAGGAGAGGGTTTAAATTCCATTAAGACCATAAGCAAGGGGAGCACAAAGGCTGCAACTCCACAGCTCCATACCTGGAGGCGCTCTGGTGGGAAGGGCAAATCCCCAGGAACAGAGTGGGGTCCGGGAAGTTCTCGGGCCACACAGGGAAAAGCAGTTCCACTGCTGGAAGGACATTTGGTAGAGACTGTTGAAGCCACCTGGTCCCAGCAGACCCCAGAAAATGGCCACATTCACTGGTGCTGGAACAAGGTCCTTAAGGGTGAAGCCTGGTGCCCGATGTGTGTTGTGATTTTCTATAATCCCTGATGTGCTGCGGCAACACTATCTCGCGAACTTTTTCTGAGGCGGGCTGGCACCTGGCTGTAGTCCTGGGGCACCAGCAGCAGCAGGGTCCAGCAAGCGTTCCTGGGTGCAGCCGACATTCAGCCATTGCTCATTCGGCCATTGCTCAGTGAGACCCTCCTGCAGAGAGGTGGAATGGGTCAAAGCCGTAGTCCTTCCGAAGTAAGGGGCCGGAGAAAACAGCCGCATCTGAGACAAAATTCGGGAGAGAGGTACTGCCTGGGGCCTGGTCACAGAGAGTGAAAAAGCGGGGAGTGGATGAAAGCTGAAGACAGAGGACGGGTCCGCGATTGCTGATCCTGGAGAACAGACTGAGTAACTGAGTGGCGCCATTTTTCACCGCCCCCGCGCAAGCGCATAGGCACCTATGAGCACCGCAACAATCCACCCCAGTAGGCTAGCAGCGCCATCTAGTGGAGACCGACGCCGTTACACTGAGTCCCGCCCAACCGGGCCAACTTCGATCTTCAAGGACACAAGTCTCACTGCCGGCTTAGTTTATCAACTATGAAGCACGGACTTTAAACTATAAAACACTATAAAACACTGACTATGAAACACTGACTTCTAGGGGAAAACGAAGTAATTTTAGTCCTACTTTAGTCTGTTAATAGGTCTATTTATTCAATTTTCTTTTTTTTTTTCTCTTAAACTTATTTTTCTTGAATACAGAAAGAGAAAAAATTCATTTTTATTTTCAATTTTTACTAAAAATATTTTTCTTTAATTTTTATCACTATATTTTTTACTTTTGTGTAAATTTTTTCAAATTCTATTTCATTTCCGTTATTTTATTTTAGTCTACTTCAGTGTATTCACCTTTGCAAATTTTCAGATGATCTCCTTTTTTTTCTTTTCTTTTTTCTTTTTCTTTTTTCTTTTCTCATTTCTTTTTTTTCTTGAATGCAGAAAGAGAAAAACCTCATTTTTACCTTCAATTTCTATTAAAAATATTTTTCTTTACTTTTTTTACTATTTTTTTTGCTTTTATGTAAATTCTTTCAAATTCTGTTTTACTTCCATCATTTTATTTTAGTCTACTACAGTGTATTCACTTTTTCAAATTTTCAAACGATTTGCTTTTTTCCTTTTTTTCTTTTTTCTCTTTTTTCTCTTTCTCATTTCTTTTCTTTTTCTTGAATATAGAAAAAGAAAAAATTCATTTTTATTTTTAATTTTTAATAAAAATATTTTTAATTTTTTTCTACTACATTCCTTACTTCTGTGTATATTTTTTCAAATTCTATTTTACCTCCATCATCTCATTTTAGTCTACTTCAGTGTATTCATTTTTTTCAAATTCTCAAACGATTTCCTTTTTTATTCTCCCCTCCCCCAATTTTTTTTCTCTAATCTGTCAAAGCACTTTCAACACCCAGACCAAAACACTCCTAGGATCTAGCATCATTTATTCGATTTGTGTGTGTGTATGTGTGTGTGTGTGTGTGTGTTTAATTTTTTTATTTTAATTTTTCTACCTCATTAATTCCTTTACTCCCTTCAAAATGACAAAACGAAGGAATTCACCCCAAAAGAAAGAGCATGAAGAAATGACAGCCAGGGATTTAACCAACACAGATACAAACAAGATGTCTGAACCAGAATTTAGAATCACAATAATAAGAATACTAGCTGGAGTCGAAGATAGATTAGAATCCCTTTCTGCAGAGATAAAAGAAGTGAAAAATAGCCATAATGAAATTAAAAATGCTATAACTGAGCTGCAATCATGGATGGATGCAGCAGTGGCAAGGATGGATGAAGCAGAACAGAGAATCAGCGATATAGAGGACAAGTTTATAGAGAACAGTGAAGCAGAAAAAAAGAGGGAGATTAAGGCAAAAGAGAATGATTTAAGAATTAGAGAAATCAGTGACTCATTAAAAAGGAATAACATCAGAATCCTAGGGGTCCCAGAAGAGGAAGAGGAAAACTTCCAAACTCTTTCTATGAAGTCAGCATTACCTTGATTCCAAAACCAGACAGAGACCCCACTAAAAAGGAGAACTATAGACCAATTTCCCTGATGAACATGGATGCAAAAATCCCCAACGAGATATTAGCCAACCGGATCCAACAATACATTAAAAAAATTATTCACCATGACCAAGTGGGATTTATACCTGGGATGCAGGGTTGGTTCAATATCCACAAAACAATTAACGTGATTCATCACATCAATGAAAGAAAGGACAAGAACCATATGATCCTCTCAATAGATGCAGAGAAAGCATTTGACAAAATACAGCATCCTTTCTTGATAAAAACCCTCAAGAAAGTAGGGAGAGAAGGAGCATAACTCGAGATCATAAAAGCCATATATGAATGACCCAATGCTAATATCATCCTCAATGGGGAAAAACTGAGAGCTTTCCCCCTAAGGTCAGGAACAAGACAGAGATGTCCACTCTTGCCACTGCTATTCAACATAGTGTTGGAAGTCTTAGCCTCTGCAATCAGATAACACAAAGAAATAAAAGGCATCCAAATCGGCCAGGAGGAAGTCATACTTTCTTCTGCGCAGATGGCATGATACTTTATATGGAAAACCCAAAAGATTCCACCAAAAAACTGCTAGAATTTGTTCATGAATTCAGCAAAGTTGCAGGATATAAAATCAATGCACAGAAATCGGTTTCATTTCTCTGCTTCAACAATGAAGCGACAGAAAGAGAAATCAAGGAATCGATTCCATTTACAGTTGCACCAAAAACCATAAAATACCTAGGAATAAGTCTAACCAAAGAGGTGAAAAATCTATACACTGAAAACTATAGAAAGCTTATGAAAGAAATTGAAGAAGACACACACAAAAAATGGAAAAAAGATTCCATGCTCCTGGATAGGAAGAACAAATATTGTTACAATATTGATACTACCCAAAGCAATCTGCATATTCAATGCAATCCCTATCAAAATAACACCAGCATTCTTCAGAGAGCTAGCACAAATAATCCGAAAATTTTTATGGAACCAGAAAAGACCCCGAATAGCCAAAGCAATCTTGAAAAAGAAAACCAAAGCAGGAGGCATCACAATCCCAGACTTCAAGCTATACTACAAAGCTGTAATCATCAAGACAGTATGGTACTGGCACAAGAACAGACACTCAGATCAGTGGAACAGAATAGAGAACCCAGAAACAGACCCACAAACGTGTGGCCAACTAATCTTTGACAAAGCAGGAAAGAATATCCAATGGAATAAAGACAGTCTCTTCAGCAAGTAGTGCTGGGAAAACTGGACAGTGACATGCAGAAGAATGAACCTGGACCACTTTCTTACACCATACACAAAAAAAACCCTCAAAATGGATGAAAGACCTAAATGTAAGACAGGAAGCCATCAAAATCCTCGCGGAGAAAGCAGGCAAAAACCTCTTTGATCTTGGCCACAGCAACTTCTTACTCAACACGTCTCCGGAGGCAAGGGAAACAAAAACAAAAATGAACTACTGGGACCTCATCAAGATAAAAAATCTTCTGCACAATGAAGGAAACAATCAGCAAAACTAAAAGGCAACCAACAGAATGGGAGAAGATATTTGCAAATGACATATCAGATAAAGGTTAGTATCCAAAATCTATAAATAACTTATCCAACTCAACACCCAACAAACAAATAATCCAGGGAAGAAATGGGCAAAAGACATGAATAGACACTTCTCTAAAGAAGACATCCAGATGGCCAACCGACACGTGAAAAAATGCTCAACATCACTCATCATCAGGGAAACACAAATCAAAACCACAAGGAGATACCACCTTACACCTGTCAGAATGGCTAACATTAACAACTCGGGCAACAACACATGTTGGCGATGATGCGGAGAAAGAGGATCTCTTTTGTGTTGTTGGTGGGAATGCAAGCTGGTGCAGCCACTCTGGAAAACAGTATGGAGGTTCCTCAAAAAACTAAAAATAGAACTACCCTATGGCCCAGCAATTGCACTACTAGGCATTTATCCATGGGATACAGGTGTGCTGTTTCAAAGGGACAGATGCACCCCAATGTTTATAGCAGCACTATCCACAATAGCCAAAGTATAGAAAGAGCCCAAATGTCTATCGATGGATGAATGGATAAAGAAGAGGTGGTAAATATATACACAATGGAGTATTACTCGGCAATCAAAAAGTATGCAATCTTGCCATTTGCAACTACGTGGATGGAACTGGAGGGTATTACGCTAAGTGAAATTAGTCAGAGAAAGACAAAAATCCTATGACTTCACTCATATGAGGACTTTAAGAGACAAAACAGATGAACTTAAGGGAAGGGAAACAAAAATAATATAAAAACAGGGAGGGGACAAAACAGAAGAGACTCATAAATATGGAGAACACACTGAGGGTTACTGGAGGGGTTGTGGGAGGGGGGATGGGCTAAATGGGTAAGGGGCACTAAGGAATCTACTCCTGAAATCATTGTTGCACTATATGCTAAGTAATTTGGATGTAAATTTTAAAAAATTAAATTAAATTTAAAAAAAATACGTGGTATGAAATAAATAAATAATTAATAAATAAATAAATAAATAAATAAATAAAAACACTATGTATTGGAGGGAAGTGCTTTTCAAGATCCAGAAAGAATCGTTAGCTGGGGTTTAAGCAATTGTTTCTAAAAATTGATTTGTTTAAGGGCGCACCTTAGGTATGTGCATCAGTGTCGATTTCCTATTTATTGCATTATTTTCTTCTTTACTTTGGGAAACTTGGAGGTTCAGGCACTGGTTTAATGTGTCCTTCGCTTACTACTGAGCCGTGAACAATAATAAAAGAGGGTGGTTCGTGTATGGTACTTGATCAGCCCATTCCACTAGACCGATTGGTGGTCAAAAGTATCGATCCACTCCACATGTCTGGCATGTGTCTATTTTCATCAGTCAGCTTAGCTGTTTGACATCATGGAGTTTTATATTGGCCTTGTTTTGGTAATAAGACATGAATCCAATTTAAATCTTCGTAAGATACAATGCCTGGTTCCTATGTGACTAGCACTCACTCTACGAATTAATTCTGAAAAAACCGTTGGACTTGGTTTCCAGTGCTTGGATAACTCAACTTTACCACTCACTAACTGTGGCTTTTTTTTTTTTAATGTTTATTATTTTTGAGAGAGAGAGAGAGTGTGTGAGCAGGAAAGGGGCAGCAAGGGAGACCCAGAATCCGGAAGCAGGCTCCAGGCTCTGAGCTGCACAGAGCCCAACATGGGGTTCGAACCCACAAACTGTGAGATCATGAACTGAGCCGAAGTTGGAGGCTTAGCCAGACTGAGCCACCCAGGCACCCCAACTGTGGGTTTTTTTTTTAGTCCCATTGCTCTGAACTGAAAAACAATACGAAAAGCAAATTCCATTTCTTAAGGATGTCAAGAAAGGTGAGACATTTGAATCTTCTCAGCCACAGATTTCTCCTGGTGAAATAGGAATATCTACCTCCGTGGTCAGGAGAGTGAGATGGAATAATGCCTGTAAAGCACTCAATACACTATTATCAGTATTTTGATATCATTATTAGTACAATTGGTATTGTTAAAGCACTGGTAAACAATGATGTGCCTGCCTTACAAGTCTAAGATGTTATAATAGCTCTGTGGAAAGAAATATGTCAGAAATGAAGATATATATATAGAGAGAGAGAGAGGGAGAGGGAGAGAGATGTGCGTAAAAATGTAGGTGTATATGTCAAAAATACATATCATCTTATTCATTTGCTCAAGCATTCCCTGAGTGTCTCCTGAGAACCAGGCACTCTGTGGGCACCCTGGAGTTAGACAAATAAGAAACAGCCCTTGTTTTGGGGGGAGTCCTCAGAATAATCAAAGATCAATGGTGAACCCTGATGTGGAAGCCCTGGGACTCAGTTTCCTCAGTGCTCGGGGAATGGCCTGTGTTCAGAAGGAAGCAGAAGGGGATTCTGCCGCATGTACAGGCTCCTAGGAGACCTGCTGAAGCCAGGCTGGCGGGGGTGAGGGGATCACCTTTCTGTCCTAAGGGAGGAGCAGGAAAAAACAGGAGCACTACCCATGGTTCTCAACTCCCAAACCAGCAGCCAAGCCCAGAGCTTTACTGACAAACGTAGGGTGACCTTAAACACGGTGGAGAAACACTACACAGTGAATGAATGAAAACACACCTGCATAATAATAATGGCAAACATTGACATCGTTGTGTTATGTAGCTAAGTTATATATGTCAATGCTTTGCATAACTCATGAGTGGAAGCAAACTTTCCCCAAGAGCCGATGGGCTCCACGAAGAGGCAACATCTAGAACCCGAGCCTTCTGCCCTCTTGTCTGTTCTTTCCACTTCTGCTGGGATTTGCTGAAACGTGACCTGCGCAGGCTGAAAGGCCTCGTATTTGAATCGACTGTGACCCCTTGGGGTCTGTGTAAGCTGAAGTCTGCCTAAGGCCAGAAGACATTTCTAGAGGAAATGTCCCCTAAAAAGGGGAGCAAAGCCTTTGTCCGTGAGGGTGCTCCCCAGCCCCATCCCTGCCACTGCCCCCGGGGAGCCCCCCTCCCTGGTCAGCGATGGCAGAGGGGGTGTTGATAGGCAGAGACTCAGCACGGGGGCCCAGAAGTACTTTTGTCTGCTTGCTTAGTTTACTTTTTCATGGGGAAAAATGCCATTACCAGAGGCCATCCTAGGGCAGGAAATTTTTGTCACTCTAGCGGCCACAGTCAGAAGGTGGTAAACGGACTTGAGGGCAGGAGGCTGTCAGAAAACCAGGGCAGGAGTGGAAGCGGCTTACTTAGGCTGGGGGCTCAGGTTAGTGTCGGCCCTGCCGGCTCTAGCGCCAGGCTCTGTGCTGACAGCTCAGAGCCTGGAGCCTGTTTCCGATTCTGTGTCTCCCTCTCTCTCTGCCCCTCCCCCATTCATGCTCTGTCTCTCTGTCTCAAAAATAAATAAACGTTAAAAAAATTAAAAAAAAAAGAAAAGAAAGAAAGTCTTGCATTTGCTCTGATGTTGAAATGAGGCCCAACCTCTTCCGGTGAGTCTGAGTTACACCCACACATTTCATTGAATACAAATAATGACAGGGGACGCGCATCAGCTTATGATCCGCCAGGAATAAAAAGTCAGTGCTCTCCTCCTTTTCTCTGAAGTACTCCTTGGTATGACCAGAAAGAAGACAAGCCTGGTTTGGTTTTTGTTTGTTCCCACACATAAATTAACTGCATGGACTGCAGAATTTTACTCCCTGTGTTGTATTAGAATTTCAAGGAAGAAGTTTTTATTTTATTTTTAAATTTTTTTTTCAACGTTTATTTTATTTTTGGGACAGAGAGAGAGAGAGCATGAGCGGGGGAGGGGCAGAGAGAGAGGGAGACAGAATCGGAAACAGGCTCCAGGCTCTGAGCCATCAGCCCAGAGTCCGACGCGGGGCTTGAACCCGTGGACCGCGAGATCGTGACCTGGCCGAAGTCGGACGCTCAACCGACTGTGCCACCCAGGCGCCCCGAAGTTTTTATTTTAAAAGCACCTGCCAGGGGCGCCTGGGTGGCTCAGTCGGCTAAGTGTCCGACTTCACCTCAGGTCGTGATCTCGCGGTCTGTGAGTTCGAGCCCCGCGTCGGGCTCTGTGCTGACAGCTCGGAGCCTGGAGCCTGCTTCGGATTCTGTGTCTCCCTCTCTCTCTGACCCTCCCCCGTTCATGCTCTGTCTCTCTCTGTCTCAAAAATAAATAAATGTTAAAAAAAATGTTAAAAAAAAATAAAAGCACCTGCCACATTAAAAAAAAAAAAACAATAAAACAAAATAAAAACACGAGAATTACTCTCTCAGTATCTCCTGTCATTTCTCCAAGAGACCAGCTAGGTAATGACAGAACAGACTTTCTTTTACAAGCACAGAAACCACACCAACACTTATTTTTGTTTGTTTCACATCTCACATAATTTGTAGATGCTGAATTTTGAGTCAATTTTTTGGCTTGTTAATGAAGCACTCAGGAGACTTGGTATTTTTGGTACATCTTACTATGTCTATAACCCTTGCTTCGATGGGATTTCACTTTAAATACAACAGTAACATTTTAAACAGGAGTGGTGGATGAAAGAGACAACAGTTACATTGTTTTCCATCTTTTTATTATCTGTGTTTTACATACACACTATCCACCTAGCATGCTAAATTTCTTCTAGAAGGTGCCCATTTTCCATCACATAAGCCATAATTGCATTTCATCAAGCTGCAGAAGTTGTTAGCTAAGGAAGAAAGGGTTCTCATATTTAAGTGGGCTCTCTTTGGGCATGGTAGTGAAGTCTTGCTCTCGGAATCAATTCTCTTTTTTTGTTTGTTATCTACATAAACTTTCCATATTCACTGAGAATATTCAAAAACTCTAGGTTCTTGTCCTGAGAAACTGGATTTAATATTAAACGATTTCTTTTGCCTATGTAACCTTTTTCTAGCGTTTGGGCTGAGAAATGCTTTCCTTGTACAACATGAAAACAGATATCGACGGTGTGTACAGCAGTGTTCTTATTCTAAACCCAAAGAGAAAACATCCAAGTATGTATCTCAGTTGTGCAGGTTTTGATTCTTCAGACCTGACATAAGGAAGAATCTCCCCCCAAGCCTCTTAAGTAATGGGAAATGGGAAAGTGTGTATTTCCTTCGCCGGCTTTGGGAAGGGCAGAGGTTAAGAGGGGACGGATGTGGACATCTAGTCCCTATCATGCTCAGAAATCTCAAGAGCTGACCACCTCTTCCACTCACAGAGCCAACACAGCTCCTTCATTTTCGCCCGGCGCAGAACCTCAAGCAGCCTTGGAGTTGCACAGCTTACGTGAAACAATGGGAAAGAACTGCTTTGGATTGCATGATTGACTTTTAAGGTGTTCCAACTGTGAACGTCCTGGTATGCAAATTATGTGACGTCAGCTCAAATGAGGGGCCACCGCAATGATGAACCACCTTTGAAGATACGCCAGTGTTCAGAAAAGAGGCCAGTGTTGACTCAGCTATGGCACTGAGAAGCAGCCGCCTGACTGGTTTCTCCATCTTAGAAGTTTTCTTTCTCCAGGAAGGTTTTCATCAAGGCAACAACGTAGCCAGACAATTAACGCGGTCTTGCTTTAGCCCTAATAACTCAATTTCCAGGGTCACCTCCCTCAGTCGGCTTTGCAAATTATGCCACTTGTTAAGAACTATTTCCATACAAAATGGAAATTCAAGGAATTCAATTTTCAAACTATTTATATTCTCAGTGCTCGTTTTTCCAGTCATCATGGACTATTATGATTCCTTGATTATTCATAACTCTTTTCCCAACTTCCAGACCATACTCATGTAATCCACTTCCATTTTCATAGATGATTAGAGGTATTTGTGACATATTAAAGAAAACGGGAAACATGCAAGTGTTTCATTAGTCTTCAGTTTTATTTATTTTTTTATTTATTTTTTTTTTTTAAATTTTTTTTTCAACGTTTATTTATTTTGGGGACAGAGAGAGACAGAGTATGAACGGGGGAGGGGCAGAGAGAGAGGGAGACACAGAATCGGAAACAGGCTCCAGGCTCTGAGCCATCAGCCCAGAGCCTGACGCGGGGCTCGAACTCACTGACCGCGAGATCGTGACCTGGCTGAAGTCGGACGCCCAACCGACTGCGCCACCCAGGCGCCCCTAGTCTTCAGTTTTAAAGAGCAAGTCAATAAATACAAAGGAAAATATTAGTCCAAATATGTGAATAATTGTCAACATTCTCTCCCTATATATTATATATATAGTATATATGTATTATATATTATTTTTAACAGAAAACATGGATGACACAAAAAACAGCAGCGATATCTTGCTTCACCAGGAACCAGGAAACCAAGAAGATATCTTTATTTACGTCGCCTGCAGAATCCTCTGAAATGTAGGAACCTAAAACAAGTGGTGCATTTTTTAGACATTAGGATTAAGGTATTCTTTCATTCAAACTTTTCTAACACTTATTGAGTGATGAGCTAGAAAGAAATGTGCATTTTAAAGGAGTTCCAGAATTTGAGGATTTGAGCTAGGAAAATCCTCATTATAGAGGAATAATGACCGCAACAAATTGGAACTCTGAGGAATTTTTTGGCAGGTATGTAACTGATACCTTACCATGTTTCAGGAGGGCTCACAAGAGGTTTGAGTGAAGTATGGTGCTATTAGAATTTGTAAAGGGTGAAAGATCAGATGAATGGAGGGTCAGAAGGAAAGCAATGTCCACTGCTTGTGCTCAGTGTGAATTCTAGCATCTCACTTTGTGTATGTCAATAATGAAACCATATTTCCTACATGGCTCATAAACCAGTCTTAACTGCTTTACAGTCCTACTTCACATTCAATGATAATTCTTTTTTTTAACTTTTTAAAATGTTTATTTTTGACACAGAGAGAGAGAGAGAAATGAGCAGGGGAGGGGCAGAGAGGGAGACACAGAATCTGAAGCAGGCTCCAGGCTCCAAGCTGTCAGCACACAGCCCAATGCGGGGCTTGAACTTCCGGACCGTGAGATCATGACCTGAGAGCTAAAGTTGGATGCTCAACCCACTGAGCCATCCAGGCACCCCTAAAGCGCATTGATAATTCTGATACAACTTTGGTTGCTTTTTTAACAGATTAAGCAATCAATAAGGTCTATATTTAACAGTTTTTAAATTCCTATTTGCCAACAGTTTACTTACCTCAGGTATACTTGGTAATACCCTAAATTGAAAGTAGAAAATCCCAGAGATTAAATGCCCTTATTTTAAGGGGGAAAAAAGCGAGTGTCTGTGCCAGTTTCACCAGTTAACACTTTTATATGGGAGATTTTCATAGAAATAGTTAAGATAGCTTTCTCTGAACCTCATTTTTTGAAGAACGAACGATGAAGTTTGTCATAAAACCACTTTCTGGTTTGAGTGGTGTGTGTGCTGGCATAGAACAGCCAAGTTTATTTGGCAGAAAGCACTTGAAATGTCATTAGAATCTTTATCAAGTAAAAGTAGCTTGAATTATATTGTCATGGTGGAATATACTATTCACTTCATTTAAAAAAACGGGTATTTTTATTTAAAAAAAATTTTTTTAACGTTTATTTATTTTTGAGACAGAGAGAGACAGAGCATGAACGGGGGAGGGTCAGAGAGAGGGAGACACAGAATCTGAAACAGGCTCCAGGCTCTGAGCTGTCAGCACAGAGCCCAACGCAGGGCTCAAACTCACGGACTGCGAGATCGCGACCTGAGCTGAAGTCGGATGCTTAACCGACTGAGCCACCCAGGCGCCCCCAAAAAACGGGTTCTTATAGTCAGATCATATCAAGAGGAAATCCACAAATTTCAATTTCAGGAATGGTAACTTCCACAATTTCCAAAACGGACGTATTACACTTTTCAATTTGGGCTGGAAGGTAAGTGATACGTTAACTGATCTCCTTAAGTTGGAGGATGAGACAGAGAGGATGGGGCTTGAGGAAGTCATGACATGCAGTTAATTCTTTGAGGAAAACACAGATTTCGCCACAATGCAGCATAAAGGCTCTTGTCCAAGGGCCAAGCACTATTAGAAGGGAGGGGCAGTCTCTATATAGTCACTTCAGATATTTATTAAGAATAAGTTGAATTAAAAGGAGAATCTTGAAAGCAATTAACTACTTTTAATGTCTAAGAATAAATGAGAAAAAAAAAAGGGGAGGGCCAAGAATGGGGACTAGACTGCAGGTGAGTTCCTAGAGAGGGGACCTAGATGGGATTGAAAGCAATTACATCCAGAAGACAATACAGATGTGTGCAAGAGAAGATTTAGGAAGAAATATCTGACCAAAAAATAATATATATATTTTAGAAAAAAAAAATCAACAATCATCTTGTAGAAACTTTTAAATATTTAAAACCAACCTAAGAGGAAGGACACGGACCGGGACTAAGTGATCTCTCAAGATTCCTTTTAAAATCCTCTAAGTCCAGGGGCATCTGGGTGGCTCAATCTGTTAAGTGTCTAACTTCAGCTCAGGTCATAATCTCACAGCTTATGAGTTCGAGCCCCGAGCTGGGCTCTGTGCTGACACCTCAAAGCCTGCAGCCTGCTTCAGATTCTATGTCTCCCCCTCTGCCCCACCCCTGCTCACACTCTGTCTCTCCTTCAAAAATAAATAAACATTAAATTTTTTTTTTTTAACATTTATTTATTTTTGAGACAGAGAGAGACAGAGCATGAACGGGGGAGGGTCAGAGAGAGGGAGACACAGAATCTGAAACAGGCTCCAGGCTCTGAGCTGTCAGCACAGAGCCCGACGCGGGGCTTGAACTCACGGACCGTGAGATCATGACCTGAGCCGAAGTCGGCAGCTTAACCGACTGAGCCACCCAGGTGCCCCAATAAACATTAAATTAAAAAAAAAAAAATCCTGTGAGTCCAATAAGTAATTATATGTATAAAGAACTCGTTTACCCTTAAATCTCATTAAAGGGAAAGACTGAGTAAATTAACATCAAGATGGAAAACAGCTGAAGAATACGCTAGATGCAAAGAACTATTAGTATTCCCATGTTCATCACAGCACTATTCACAATAGCCAAGAAGTGGAAAACCCTTAATGTCCACCAACAGATGAACGGGTAAAGAAATACGGCATATACATACAATGGAATACTATTCAGCCTTTGAGAAGAAGGAAATTCTGCAATTTGCAACAACAGAGATGAACCTCGGACATCACGCTAAAAGAAGTCGATCGGTCACAGAGAGACAAGTACTGTATGACTCCACTGACGTGAGGTATCGAAAGTAGTCAGACGCATAGAATCAGAGTAGAATAGAGGTTGCCAAGGGAGGGAGAAATGGGAAGTCACCAGTCAACGGCATAACGTTTCAGTGAAGTGAGATGAGGAAGCTCTACAGGTCTGCTCTACTAGAATTTAAAAGCTGTCAAAGAGGGTAGATCTGTTAAATGTGATCACAATAAAATAAAATTTAAAAAAGAATATGCTACATATTTAAACTGAAATTCTATAGCACTCACAAAAGAACATGTCTAATATATAATCTAGGAAGTTCTTGAGGATATACACATTGAACTCTTCAGAGGGAAGCACATTAGAGTCAAATAAAAAAAAAAAAAAACACTTCTGGAATTTTGGTTCCCAGGAAAAACACAGTAATAAGCGACTGGTATACTGAGTCCTCAGAAAGTGTCTTTAAATGGTCACCTGGGTACTAAACTTAGATGAACAACGAAAGAAGGAATGACTTTAATATTGTTTAGTATTTCTTTGTAGTTTTGTTAATTCTTCACAATAATGAATGGAATAAGAAGGGAATGTCTTAAGCAAAACGGCCTTAGTAATTTCTCTTGCAATTATTAACTTCATTCCTAATTCCTAAATTGAACACCAAAGCATACCCACAGTCTACATCCATGTGGAAAGTTCTAACAATCTGTAAATAAGTACAAAATGGTTAATATTTTGTATTCTTTTTCATTTATTTTTATTTGAGAGAGAGAGAGGGCGTGCACGAGCCGGAGAGAGGGGTGGGGGGAGAGAGAGAATCTCAAGCAGGCTTCACACTCGGTGAGGAGTCCGGTGCGGGGCTTGACCCCATGACCCTGGGATCATGACCTGAGCCAAAATCAAGAGTCGGACGCTCAACCAACTGAGCCACCCAGGCACCCCATGTACTTCTTTTTTTTTTAATAGAAAAAAATAATTTACAGTCACAGAATACATCTACTAGAAAGAATTGGTTTTTTAATATCATCTTTAACAAATTAAAAAACACAAAATCAACAATTCAATAAGGATCCTTCCATTTTTCTTTATACAGATTTAAATGCTGTTGTGTAATTTATCAGTTACATTTATAATCGATAACCTTCCACTCACTGAGTTTAGAAATTACAGTATTTACTGAGCTAAACTCTCTCACAAAATAAGGCACAACTACATGATCACAAGTAGTAAACACAATACAAACAATGAATCCAAAACCTAAATGAGAAAATATTCATGCAAAAGTTTCTATAGAAACTATGAATATATGATCCAGTTCAAGGAAGTACAGAATGTCATATACATAACTGCATCATGTTACAATAAATTCATTACTTCTACACAGAAAGAACTTAGCTATTTCCAATTCTATTTTATACAATTTTACATAAATTTAGTAAGTTTATGCACAATATTCACATCTGCAACAATAACAAATTGATCATTAAAATTCAGGCAAAGGGCAATTAAGACACGATAATGTGTGGCACATTATAATTACAGAATGCCATTCATCAAGCTCATGTCTAGGAATACTAAATTGATGGCACATTTAACTCTTATGGATCAAATCATCCATGGTTTTATAGCCAAAGTGCATTAAAAAAAATTGCTATAGTCAAATAGGTCATGAATATCAAAATATATGATCATAATTTGCTCTCCACTTAGAAGCTAAACATTTTTATGCAAATGCAAAGTTAAAAAAAAGTGGCTTCAAAGTTCTCAAAACTATAAAATAATCCAAAGCCTTTCTAAGAGAGATGGGAAACTAACAAATTTGGCAGTTACTATTTAACATTACTGTGAGGAAACTATCAAACTAGCTAATTCCACATTAAGAGGTAGTTGAACAAAATGTTATTTGTACACTGCATTGAGGTCTTTGTGTTTCCCTCTTTTTTCTTCAAAGTGAACTAATCCTATACCAGCAGCTTTGTCTTCTTCCTATTAAAAAAAAATCTGTAGGTATACTTTATTGTACTCTAACCCAGCAAAACTTGATTTTAATTCACATTTCTATGCTGGGGTTTGGAATTTACTAACATGTGATGCCAACAGGCTTCGCATTAGAGCCAAGAGCTGGGACGTGCCACCCCTAACTCACTGACAAATAGTACCAGCAAACATCTAAAATG